GATACTAAGTGTACAGCAGTTTTATACATTTACAGGTGTCCCATAAGTGCTAAACTTGAGGCAATAACCACACATCGCTGCGTTGTACACAGCAAAACAATACATTAAAGGAGTGTAACTCAAGTTTCTAACACGACCGTATTGCCAAATACTTACTTGATACAGCAATCGTGCTGTAACTGTTCCACCTGAAGACGGAAGCTTGTGTTGCCTCCGAAACGTCGTGATTTATTATTTTATTTCTATTATTACTTTTAGTAATTTTTTTTTTTACCTACGTGACTTTACCGAAAAAACCTAAGAGTAGGAATCCTTGCAGCCACGAAAGCTTAAAATCTAGAATTAGAAAATAGCAATCTACAAAATGTTACTAATTTGCCAAATCATAAACCAAGACTGATTCAAAACTCACAACAGCAGCAACATGACTAATGTTACACCAAGTGACTTTTTTATTGTCATTAAAAAAAAACACATTACAGTAATGCTTTAAGATGCAAAAAAAACAGCCAGAACCCAAAACTGGATCAGACCGTCCGGAGATTTGGTATCATGACCGACACTTATGCACACATTGCCAGTCGCTTCTGAGTGTAAGTGCCACAGACTTGCATAGAACTCGGCTGGAGTGATGACGAAAAAAGGTGCTTCAATTCTGAATGTTCCCTTTGTAGGCCCACGATAGGATTGTGGGTTGCAAGAATCGCTCTGTAAATGTCTCAGGTGAAGGCATTCATAATCACAGGTCTATATTGTAAATACATTTCAGTCAGTTTTGAAAATACCCAAAATAGTTACTTATACGTATTCTAACATAGGTTACTGTCATACATATTTACATTTACTTATGTAACTAAACTACATGAGTAAGTTTGAAGAGCAGTAGCTCATTTTTAAAAGTACTTCTCTAACTGAAAGACGTGTCTACATTTTATGAAACCTGTCATTGCCTCTTGAAAGGACACATTGTTTTGCTATTCAAAATAGTTTCAACAAGCGTGCTTTTGTTGCAACACTGCATTACTCATTTTCTACTGGTGTTACTGCCACATCACCAAAAGGTTTGGTTGAAGGATCACTACGCACCATTGGAGGAGCGTGGGTCACGAATAACGACCAGGCAGGAAAGTCCATCTCTCCACTTTCAAAATGTATTTTTGTCCATCTACCTATTGGTCATTTGAAGGAAACATTTCTAGCGGCATTGTTCCAGCAGGCAAATGCTAGAACGGTGTCGACATTTTTGGTCTCATCAGCAGTCAGCCCTGTCAAACAAATGCTAGAATCATATATTTAAGATAATAAAGATAAAACATAATAAAATAATTCTCAGTGAGAATTCTCATAGTGAGAATTATTTTATTATGTTTTATCTTTATTATTTTATTATTTCCCTTCTACGTGACTTTACCGAAAGAACCAAGAAGATGAATCCCTGCAGTCACGAAAGCTTTAAATCGAAAGATATCGTGCCCAACAAGGCCAACAGGAAAACAAACGACCAATGGGCATTAATGTTTACTGTGGAGGCCTTCCAATCGGTTCATTACTCATTTGGTTGAAGACAATACCCATGCAGAGTTGATAGTATCCTAAGGAGTATAACTTGAAAGGTCGTTGCCTCCAATATGCTTTCTCATTAACAGTTCTTTAAATATAATATATGGTGTAACAATAATGCATGGTCATTAGAAACTATTGGCAAAGAGCATCAGGTACTGTCAAATTAAACAATCACCAGTGTAGCTTATTTTAATATTTCAGCAACTCGTGTCGATTTGTTTCGTGATTTCAGGACGAGACAATGGAGCAGTCATTTTACGACTCATCTTTTAATAACTAACGAGAAAACCATGTCAGCAGACGTAACAACCACCTTACTACAGCTCGGCAATGAACACTTAACACGTTAACAAAAAAGGCAAGAATAAACCTGGTGAGCTCTTAAGAATCTTGACATGCTAATTTTTCTCTAACCCCTCCCTCTCTCCGCCCCCTCTCTCTATTTAAGGCCTCGTCACAGAGATGTTCTCTCTCCATGTATCTTTGTGATATCTGTCTGCTTATATGTCCGTCTATAGTTTTCTGGTTAGATTTTTGTTGCTATTTATTTTATACCTGATGACGATTGCTTGTGTTGCAATCGAAACGTCGTATGCTATTATTTAATTTATTATTTTATCTTTATACGTGACTTTACCGAAAGAACCAAAGAGAAGCTCTTAAGAAGTCATACACAACAGTTCATTAATCATGACCTAATAGGCATGGATGCTTCACCCACTTCGTATGCATAGTGGTCCACGTTCAGGGGCTGTCGTCTGGACAGCAATAATAACTAGCGCACTTGTGGCAGCTGCTGCATGGAAAATTATTGGGGCGTTTCAAGTGCAATTGCAGATTCTCACAGCCAATCGCGTGACATTTAAGTTCTCTTTGGGGAGACTTTGCTGTTCATTCTGCACACTCAAGAGGTGGAAAAACTAACAAAAACACAATAACAAAAATAGTGGGTTAAAGGTGCATACTTGGATGCATTTGGGATGTATTTACAAGCACAGCCCTTATTGTAAACCCACCGTTAGATGAGGGCTTCCCAAAGGGTTTTCGAACACACTCTACTAAATTTCGATTTAAAGCTTTCGTGACTGCAGGAACTCATCTTCTTGGTTCTTTCGGTAAAGTCACGTAGAATGAATGTCACAGACTCTGTCGCCTTGACAGACCTGTTCTTCACCTGAGGACGGCTGCTTGCGTTGTGGCCGAAACGTCGTGAGAATAATTTATTATGTTTTATTTTTATTATTTTATTACTTCCCTTCTACGTGACTTTACCGAAAGAACCGAGAAGTTGATAAACATAATTGGCTGTGTCGATTGGTGGCTGGTTTGACGACTCATATTTCCGTGACCTAACCTAAAATAAAAGTCTATTATGGATAACTCTCCTAAGTTAGTCAGTGGGTTTCTCATGAAGGTGGGACAGCCGTTTACGAGCCCGCACCTACGATTAGCACGGTTGGATACGTACGGTGCGAAAGAAGTTTAACATACGTAAGTAATGCATAGGAAATGTAGTAGGATCTAAGTGGAAGCATAGAAGTATTCTAATTATTTTTGTACAGCACTATTCTTTGCTGCCCAACATGTAGCCCCAAAACATTACACCTGTTAATGCATGTTGGTCGCCCATGTAAGGAGTGGGTTCAACCCTAACTTTGCCAAATTTTTACGAGATCAGATGCATCATAGGTGATTTTTGGTCTTATTTAGGACATAAATGTAGTCTTATTTAAATGATTAACACGCAGCAGGGAGTGTTGTCTCCACACACAAGACTCACACACATAAGATTCTCTACTGTTTACATTAGTCAATTTCAAATTTGATCTTACGAGTTAAGCTACGCGTAGGGTTAAACAGCAGGCAATAACTGTGGGTCAAATTTCGATTTAAAGCTTTCGTGACTGCAGGGATTCATCTTCTTGGTTCTTTCGGTAAAGTCACGTAGAAGGAAAATAATAAAAATAAAACATAATAAAATAATTCTCATGACGTTTCGGCCACAACGCAAGCACCTGAGGACGGCTGCTTGCGTTGTGGCCGAAACATCGTGAGAATTATTTTGTTTTATTTTTATTATTTTATATTCCTTCTACGTGACTTTACCGAAAAAACCAAGAAAACTGTGGGTCAGTGCTTTATTTTCTCACTCCAGTCCTTGTGGGCCCAGCAAGGTCTAGGTTTACCAACAATGGAGTAGTCATGTCCGATTCACTTCGGAACTACCAATCCACTCGTCCTTGTGAAGGGGAATTGATGAAGAGATGCACTCACTCTTTTGAGTTGGACGAAATATATATTTGTTGTGATGCTGCGTTGGCACCAGTGCATACGCGCACAAATAACAAAAAAAACTCGCATTCGTAAATAACTCTGCCCAAAAAAGGGAAACTATGAATTAGCAACGTTTCAGACAATGACCCTCATCCGTTACAAAGAAGTGCAATTGCTCAAAACCTTGCATACCATGTTTCCTTTTAGGGCAGTCATTGACTTTTAAAGTTGGGATACATTTGGGCCACAAGCCTTGCGGTTACAATCCACTGCTCGCGTGAATCTCATAAAATGGTACATCGATCTAACCCTTACTCTCAGTAACTCGCTGTTATTTCTGTGTTAAGTTACCTAATGTGATTTTTACATTTCATGTTATAATTATTCAAATTGTGCATGGATAATTTTTTGAACAAAAAAATACATTTGCATAAACCATTCCAGGTAACCCTTGTACATAGCATTGCATATTTTTGACTTCCACTAAGAAAGTGCATACAAGTTCAACTTCATCATTTCTATCCACCCTTTCAAGGAAACCAATAACCACTCATGTACAAATGGCAGCAAATCAAGCACATGAGCAATTTTAACTGGCCGCTACGTTCTTGAGTAAATATCATGGGCTGAGTTGAATGGAAGGACGCAATCGCTGATGTCTTTGAGAAGGGACATGGCACAGAGAGACACTGCAAATTATAGTGGCATGTGCACTAATCCATATGCTTTCACGGTTGTGCCGTACAGCTCTCTGGTATGTGTTTTGGGTTGCATTGCGTGTTGTTTGCCATGTCATGTGTGTCGATCCATGGGCTGGAAGCTTCCTCAGGAACTGAAAGGAATGCAGTGCCTGAACAAGTGTAATTGGTTGCCTGCGCTGTTGGTTGCGCGGTTTAATTCAAGCCACAGAAAAAGGGGGACGCAGCTTAGGACATTTGGTGAATTCCTGTGCGCTTACAGTTTTTACTCTCTTGCATTTCCACCGTACACAATTCTAATATAGGAATGGTATCATAATACGACTTCAAAATCGATAAGACTGAGGTGTGCCAATCTTTAAAGTTAATTACATATCAATTTAACATAATTGGCAAACATATCACTTCGTTACCTCAATTACAATGAGACCCTATGCGAAAATCAGTTGCCATGACCCAGAAATGGAAGATTTTTTTCTGTATTTTATTGCATTTACATAGGGAAAATACAGTAAACAAAAGTTTTTTTAACACTCCTTTCAGTGATGCTTGTCAGGATTTATAAACGTACAACGTGCCCTCATGTTGTGACACACAACTCGTGCGGAAGATACAAATATTCGTGACTACTTGGTGGCCTTCAAGCGTACATCCATCCATTGGTCCCCTAACAGTTCTGAAGCGCTGTCAGGCTGTTGTTCAGCATCTGCAAACTGGCCTGAACGACACAGCACACGGCATTAAAATTCGGTAGTTCACGCACACTGTACTAATCTAAAAAACGAAAGTATGTTTTATCTTACCATGCAAGGCCCACTTGAGCTATAACAGCTCTTTTTCAGAAGCGATCTGGCCACAAATGATAGCTCAACAAAGCGGCTTATCGTCGCGTCGAAATGTATAGCAGCCAAATAGTTTGAACGCATGTTTCTGAGTTTGGAGGGAAAAACCGGATGACCCAGGGAGAACATGCAAACTCCAAATACACAGGCGTCAGGGTCGGGATTGAACCCGCGACCTCTTGCGTACCAGGCGAGGTAGTTAACATTGCTGCTTCTGTTCAGTGTATATACAGCGCTGGACATCCATATAATCGGTGGATATTCTGTATGAATGTATCTTAGTCCAGAGAACTTATCCCAGACCGCTGCACCAATTATAATGAAGGGGGGAGTCATTTGAAAGCTGAAAATGTAGTTGATGCAAACGAGGTCGAGATTAACAAAATAAATACCCATGACCTGATAATTTGGTTTATCCAGTAGTAGGTTTTTACCCTTTTAAACTGGTACAAAACTGACACCTGTATTCAAGGCATCATGTTTGCAATAACCACAACACAAGTAGTCAAAAAAGCAAACAAAAAGAAGCAACTCTGATAATGATAATAATATGCACTGTCCTTGAAGTTGATTGGTCCACACCCGAGACGGCTTTCTTTAGAGCCTAGTCCCCATTGGTGTTGGACCAGATGACACCAGAAGGCGTACAACTCAAACACAGTGCAATATCAGAGTATTGAGAGCTCGGGGTAAGCATTTACACTATGAGATCTCTTTTACCAGTGGCAAAATATAGTTGTAGGTTTTAACCCTTTTAAACTGGTACATATTATTATCATTATCAGAGTTGCTTCTTTTTGTTTGCTTTTTTGACTACTTGTGTTGTGGTTATTGCAAACATGATGCCTTGAATAAAGGTGTCAGTTTTGTACCAGTTTAAAAGGGTAAAAACCTACTACTATATTTTGCCACTGGTAAAAGAGATCTCATAGTGTTGGTTTATCCACTCGAGCATTTGGAACAGCATGGCACGTGAGGAGCCCCGTTCAAAAATCAAGTCCGCGTGTTCACGAGAGCAGTGGGTAGTAGCCCATCTCCATTGGTGACCCTGAGGCCGTTGTTGGAGATTCCACATTCTGACGTGGGGGGGGGGGGGGGCAGATACTCCACAGGATACGGAGTGGTAGCTCTTGTAATCTCTCATTTACTTGATACAGCTGTCGTGGCTGTGACGGTTCCACCTGAAGACAGAAGCTTGTGTTGCCTCCGAAACGTCGCGATTTTTATTTTATTTTACTTTTATTAATTTACATTTTTTACCTACGTGACTTTACCGAAAAAACCTAAGAATATGAATCCTTGCAGTCACGAAAGCTTAAAATCTAGAACTCCACAGGATGACCACCGTTAACTTCCAACAAAGTGATAGTAATTTATTGACCCAAGAAAAAGTGATCGGGCGAGTTCAATTGATCTCATGGCTTTTCAACAGTGGGTAAGGTGCACTGACCATTCTAGATTTGAAGCTTTCGTGACTGCAAGGATTCATACTCTTAGTTATTTCGGTAAAGTCACGTAGGTAAAAAATGAAATTAAAATGAATAAAAGTAATAGAAATAAAATAATAAAAATCACGACGTTTCGGAGGCAACACAAGTCTCCGTCATCAGGTGGGACCGTCACAGCTAGATTTGCTGTATCAAGTGAGGCAGGGATTCCAAGATGCATCTTGGAATCACCTGATGACGGATAATTGTGTTGCCTCCGAAACGGCGCGAGCATATTTATTTATTTATTTAAAATTTTTATTATTACTTTTATTAATTTTAATTTAATTTTTTACCTACGTGACTTTACGGAAAAACCTAAGAGTATGCACTGACCATGCCACATGAGGTCAGATTGCTGCCACGTGTGAACGTCATTTTGTTTAGGTATGACGGCCATCACGCTTCTATTATATCCCCCGTCGTAAGCTTCATCCCACGGAACAGGCACTCCTCATAAGGATGATTACTGCACATCTTAGAAAAATATCTTCAAAGCGCATCAGAATTCTCCAGGATGAAATAAAGATTCTGATTTGCAATTACAGGGTGCTTAAATACTTCATCACCTCAAGAGCGCCTTACATCATAATCTCATGTCAACCATGCCAAGGCCCTGCAGCAGACTGGCTTAGGGGACCCCAGGTGGTAACCACCATAAGACAACACCCGACTGGGTAAAGTCTGTCAGTGTTAGTATCGTCTGCCGGTGTTAGTATCGTCTGCCGGTGTAAGTATTGTCTGCCAGTGTTAGTATCGTCTGCCAGTGTTAGTATCGTCTGCCGGTGTTAGTATCGTCTGCCGGTGTTAGTATCGTCTGCCGGTGTTAGTATCGTCTGCCAGTGTTAGTATCGTCTGCCGGTGTTTGTATCGTCTGCCGGTGTTAGTATCGTCTGCCAGTGTTAGTATCGTCTGCCAGTGTTAGTATCGTCTGCCAGTGTTAGTATCGTCTGCCAGTGTTAGTATCGTCTGCCAGTGTTAGTATCGTCTGCCAGTGTTAGTATCGTCTGCCAGTGTTAGTATCGTCTGCCAGTGTTAGTAAACTCTGCCGGTGTTAGTATCGTCTGCCAGTGTTAGTAAACTCTGCCGGTGTTAGTATCGTCTGCCAGTGTTAGTATCGTCTGCCAGTGTTAGTATCGTCTGCCAGTGTTAGTATCGTCTGCCAGTGTTAGTATCGTCTGCCAGTGTTAGTATCGTCTGCCAGTGTTAGTATCGTCTGATGTCGTCGCCGTACCTTGGCGTGCTTCAGTTCCAGCTCGGCCATCTCCACGAGGTTTTTGCGGAACGCTGCCACTCGCCTCATCTTGAAGTCCATCAGTTCTGAAACACCGCAATAAAATGCAGGTCAAACGTGCACGGCGAACACAAGCATATACGTTCCCATCATCATCAGCCACGATCAATCCTATCTCTGAATGAAGTTCTCACCAAACCACGGCCAACATTTCCCATCCTGCAATGCAACACACCATCTACACGCTGACGATTAAACCGGATTTAGTTAAAATTAATCCATTTGGGAGAGGGGGGGGCTTCTCGTTTGCAAGGGTGTAATAGTTGCAAACTTTGCCAACAAGACAACAAGATTTGTGCAATTTAAATATTGGTGGCACATACTCTTTGGTTCTTTCGGTAAAGTCACGTAGGTATAAAATAAAATAAATTAAATCACGACGTTTCGATTGCAACACAGTAGCATGGCGCGATGCATGCTTAGAATTACACTGAGAAAGAGGAACATGGATTCAACAATTTGCATGAGTTAGAGCAATCGTTTTAAAGCTTTCGTGACTGCAGGGATTCATCTTTTGGTTCTTTCGGTAAAGTCACGTAGAAGTGAAGTAATACAATAATAAAAATAAAACATAATAAAATAATTCTCACGACATTTCGGCCACACCGCAAGCAGCCGTCCTCAGGTGAATACCAGGTCTGTCGGGGAGACAGCGTCAGACGCTGTCCTCAGGTGAAGACCAGGTCTGTCGGGGAGACCTGGTCTTCACCTGAGGACGGCTGCTTGCGTTGTGGTCGAAATGTCGTGAGAATTATTTTATTATGTCTCCTCTGCTTCTTTATAATTTTTATTCCAGTCCACCTTCAACAGCTGTCCTATGTAAAACTATGTTGCTGTGTCTTCCCGTTGTGCGATGGGTAACCAAATGGCAAAAATCCAAATGCTGCAGATACTACGACCACTATTTTTATTGAGCTATATTAGCTATTTTTCAGAAGCGACCAGGCCACAATTAGTAGTAGCTCAAGGAGGTGGCTTATCACGTGAGAATTTATAGTAGCCAAATACTCTCAACACACACGCCGATTCTACATGTGGAGGGAAAAACAGGAGGAACCGTAGAAAAACCCACGCAATCATGGGGAGAGAGGACATGCAAACTCCAAATACACAACAAGCGGCGTCAGGATTGGGAACGAACCCACGTCCTCCCGCACATCGGGCGAGGAAGTTAACATCTGGCCAGGCGTGTACCCTGTCGCGCCGACGTGGAGAGGCTGTCGAACTTGTGCATGGCGACCTTCTGCTGCGTCTCCGCCTGCTGCACGTCCTTGCCCTTGGCACGCGCCTTGTCCAGGGCCCTGCCGGTGTTCTCAGCGTCCACGAGCGAGCGCGCGCGCCGGTACAGCAGGTCCTGGCCACGACGTCAACAACGGTCGTTTGGTGACCTCAACACAGCGGTTTGTGGCAGGCTAGGTGCACTTTGAGGCCATGTGAAAGTGTTGAATTAACCGAAAACTATAAGCTATTTTTATTTTTCGATTTAAAGCATTCGTGACTGCAGGGATTCATCTTCTTGGTTCTTCTTCTTGGTTCTTTCGGTTAAGTCACGTAGAAGGGAAGTAATAAAATAATAAAAATACTTTACCGAAAGAACCAAGAAGATGAATCCCTGCAGTCACGAAAGCTTTAAATCGAAACTTCTTGGTTCTTTCGGTAAAGTCACGTAGAAGAGTAATAATTAAATAAAAATTTTTAATAAAATAATTCTCACGACGTTTCGGCCACAACGCAAGACAGCGTCAGACGCTGTCTTATGACAGACCTGTTCTTCACCTAAGACGGCTGCTTGCGTTGTGGCCGAAACGTCGTGGGAATTGTATTTTATTATGTTTAATTTTTATTATTTCCCTTCTACGTGACTTTACCGAAAGAACCAAGAAAACGGTCGTTTGGTGACCTCACCACAGCCTTCGTGGCAGGCTAGGTGCACTTTGAGGCCATGTGAAAGTGTTGAATTAACATGAAAACTATAAAACTATTTTTATTTTACCAGGTAAGGCCCACTGAGCTATATAGCTCTTTTTCAGAAGCGACCCGGCCACAAATGACAGCTCAACCAAGTGGCTCACCACGTGGAAATGTATTGTAGCCAAATACACATGTCACCTGCACGCCAGCGAATCATCGCTTGCTGGCAGGCGATGGGACACACAGATCAGGGTGTTCTGGGTTAACAGATTGAGATGACTGGCAGATGCCCTCTTGACTGTGCTCACGCACCATTCAGCAATACAAAATGTTGGGGCAAGTACTGTTAGCGAATATCTATTTTCTGTGTTTGAGTTTATGTACCTGTTTTTTTATGTGCCCGCGACAATGAGGCACTGATGATGCGACTGCCGAAAAAAGTTTCCCGACAAATGTTTCCAAAAAACTTTGACATGCAGAGGTGTCTGCAGAGGTGTTTAATAAATTCGGTAAAAACATTGGCAGTCAAATAGCCTGCCCTTGCAAAAAAAGAGTCTTGGAGACCCACTTAATAGTAAAACCAATCTCAGTGTACTAAGAAAAATGCTTGTCTTACGCATTTCGATAATGAAGGGTTGGTTAAATGTGACACCACAACGGAGTTCACTGTTTTACCTTGGCTGCCTGGGTTTCCCGGACGTAGTATCGCAGGAGATCGGTGAGCTTGAGGTCTTGGTCTGACGCCACCCTGCCCTGCTGCTTCTGCAAGGAGACAAAAGAAACTCCCTCTTACTGTTTGGTTCTATCGATAAAGTCACGTAGAAAGAGACAATAATACATAAAATAATAGCATGCTGTTATTTTTAAAATGTATTATTTTCTCTTTCTACGTGACTTTACTTTACCGAAAGAACCAAAGTAATTCCTGCAGTCACGAAAACGCCAAATCAAGTTTCCCTCTTACTGAACCTATTGTGGGAAACACTCCAAAGCAGCCATGAGCAGTTCATGGGGCCATCTTTATGAAACTTGGTCACTTTGGCCTAAAAAATTAGTTCTGATGCCAGTTTTGAGATTATTTAGGCCGAGCTGTCCCAGAGAACAGGTTCACACGTGGTTCAGAAATTAATTATTCACCCAGAATTTGCCCGATCTCATCAGCTGTGAGAAATGTAGAAAAATCGAGCCTGGGTAGTTCTGGGATGAATGACCACCATGCATATAATAATTACATTAGGTTTCTGCAGGGCTAGACTGTCAGCAGAGGGCAGTACAAAAATATATTTGTGTACTGGACCATACTTTTATCTCTGCTCCCCGCCTTCACAAATCTGCACTGACCAGTTTAACATGTAGGCTTTCGCGACCAATATCCATATTACAGGTTTTTTTTGGTTAGATGGCGTAATAAATATATAAATGTGTCGTTAAACCCGCCACCACCTGACACAGCCAATGAGTAAGGTTTGTCACGTGAAACAGAACGTGGCCAATTCGTTACTAGTACAGCACTAGTGTGTAGTGTAGTGTATAGTGTAGTGTATTGTAGTGCAGTGTATAGTGTAGTGTGTAGTAGTGTAGTGTATAGTAGTGTAGTGTATAGTAGTGTAGTATACTAGTACAGCACACGGGTGTGTTGGAGAGCAAAGCCACAATATTTACAATCAGAGTAAGACGCTTCGCCAGTAATTACAACTAGCGTCATCAGGCAATTGAGCTGTCGCCTGATGAAGCTGGTTGTAATTACTGGCGAAACGTCGTACTCAGATTGTAAATGTTGTGGCTTTGCTCTCCAACACACCGGTGTGCTGTACTAGTAACAAATTGGCACGTTCTGTTTAAGTGACAAACCTTACTCATTGGCTGTGTCGGGTGGTGGCGGGTTGAACGACACATTTATATATTTATATGCCATCTAACGCAAAAAAAAACTGTTTTATGCACTGACCAGTATGACGAAGTATCATCAAATAACCCCCATGGTGAGGGAATGCCCCCCTCATCAAACAGTGGATTGACAAATGGGCTGCACATGTACCTGTAAACGGCTAGACTGGGAAGAGAACTTATATTGATGGCATCATCGCCCACAATGCAGTTTAAATTGACCACAATGGCCATCTTAGCAATATGACATGAACTATTTTATCACCACCACTATCATACATTATCAACAATCACAATTCTTATCAAACCCACCACGATCATAACTAATAAGTAAAAAACTGCAGGAGAAAACACATGTACTGTTGATTGACAATCAAAGACGTAAGTATTAAACAAATAAATAATGGCGTTACTCACGCGGTACTTCTCAAACACGTCAGACGACAGCTGCAAAAATCTATTTGTAAAAAAAACAGAAAGTGGAAATAAAGTCAGCGTTGTAACACTCTTAAGAGAAATAAATCAACGCGATTACTTTCACGCCCAGAATTTACACACGTAGCAACGAAGGCGAGGTAAATTCACTCAATATTCACCTGCTTAGCTTGGAATATTCCTGCTCCCCAATGCTGTAGAGCCACGTGGAGATGCCAATGTAATCTTCAGAGACATCTATCGAACAAATGGTACATTTGTAAAATTAGACAATGGTAACCATACTAAAGGAAACAAATCTATACACTCAAAATTCTAAGTGGTGTCCCGCAAACATTAGCCCATTGCGCTATATAAACCCAGAGGCCTGAGTTTAATTACCCGCCCACAGTTAACATCAGTGGGGAGTTGTATCTGAACCCCTCCTGGGACCAACCCTGCCATTTAATGAACGCACACTGACCAGTGAGCTGCAGCAAGGTCAACCTCGATGCCCGACAGGTCTTCAAACAACAGTGGATCGACAGATGGCTATAAATGATTAGAGATGATAAAAAAAACCTGATACCACGACCAGTGTGTATATATGTGCCCTGGCATTACCGTAATTAACTTCTACGATGTCAAAGATGTTCCATATTCTCTGAATTATAAGATGCACCCCCCCCCCCCCCCACATTTTAAAGTAAAAGTTAGGGGGGTTGCATTCTACTCCAGTAGAAGGCTGTGTGCATGTAACCAGGCTTTTGTGACTTTTCTGACACTGGACGCAAGTTTGGGATGTCTTACTTTCCAGAGCATCGGCGAATAAGGTAGCAATTATGCAATGCAGTTCAACACGTAGGCTTTCGCGACCAATATTATTCATAATAAAGGTTTTTGGGTTAGATGGCGTTATTTATAAATGTGTCGTAACCCTCCACCACCCGACACGGCCAAACAGTAAAAAATATGTCACGTTTACAAAGGACAAATAGTTCACTACTTTACCCCACCGGTGTGTTGAATAGTGAATCAACATCGTTTAAAATTTTAGTACGACGTTTCGCTGGTAATTACATCCAGCTTCATCGGGCAATTCGCCAGAATGGTGAAGCCCTCCACTTGCTCCCGGTCTTAAATAGAGCAGCAGCAGGGTGACGTCATCATTTTACTCATTCAGGTGCAGTGATTTGAGGCGGTGAGGGTATTGTAATTATATAATAGATTGGTAATCACTGAATTGTTATTCATTGGTATTTGTTTCCCTTATAAGGAATTGTAATTGTATTGTTCATTTTATTTAATAATAAACTTCCAGGCCGCAATGCACCGCACAGCGGTGAAATATGCAAGTGCACATACAGTGCGTTACTCACATACAGTGAGTAATGCACAACGGCACGCATAGAGCAACGAATGTTTCAAGTGTCTTCTTGTATGTGGGCTTTCATGACCAATGTTATGATGCGGAAGTTGTTTTTTTGTGTGTCGGATCATGTCGGTATATTGCCAATCAATAACTATAACCTGTCCACCACCCAGCAAAATGTCGTGTGGGCAAATATGGGAAATGATTTGGTTGATTAGGAAAATGAGAATGCTGAAAGGCAAGCAATATTTTGATAATGAACACAGCAAACCCTTTCGATTTAAAGCTTTCGTGACTGCAGGGATTCATCTTCTTGGTTCTTTCGGTAAAGTCGCGTAGAAGGGAAATAATAAAAATAAAACATAATAAAATAATTCTCACGACGTTTTGGCCACAACACAAGCAGCCGTCCTCAGGTGAAGACCAGGTCTGTCGGGGAGACAGCCTCTGAATGGCCTGTCTCCCCGACAGACCTGGTCTTCACCTGAGGACGGCTGCTTGCGTTGTGGCCGAAACGTTGTGAGAATTATTTTATTATGCTTTATTTTTATTATTTTAATATTTCCCTTCTGCGTGACTTTACCGAAAGAACCAAGAACACAGCAAACCCTTGTTAATTTTACACAAATGGGGCTCTGGCCTCGCCGGATTATCCAATATTCCGAATTATGTACAACGGTTACTACCCCGTGCCTCCTGCCCCAATACAATCTTCACACACCATACGCATTGACACACCTGCATTAATTCTATCCAAATCTTTGGATTTGTCTCACAGACTAAGGGATTTATACTACAGTCCCTTTCTACTACTTCTTGATGTAGGTGTAGAGGACATTTCTGAGAGGGTTGGCTTGCACAGTGCATCAACAATGTAAAGTCCAAAGCAACGGGTCTGCACTAACGCTCACCACGCATGCCGCCAATAGGCTATGCCTGCGCAGCGCGACTCACGACCTCCTCTTGATACCAAGATCCAGGATGGTCATCGTGTCTATGCGCCGCTTCTCGGTGGCAGCCCCAACAGTCTGGAACGCCATCCCACTGCACATTCGCAGCATCACCTCAATCGCCTCCTTCAAGAGACACTTAAAAACTCACCTCTACAACCACGTGCATTCGAGCGACTCTGAGCTTCGCTCCGCGCCTCTGAGTTGCGGCCGTTACGTCCGCAAATTTGCGCGCGTTACAAATTTCATTATTATTATTTTTGTTTTGGTTGTGGTGACGGCGTCGCTCCACGTGTATGCCGAAATTGTACCATTCAGTACGGCAATTCAGCTCATGGCGAATTACTAATACTGTATATATGCCGAAAGCGCAGGCGTGCAGAATTATCCCCAATTATGAATGATCAAATACCAAAATATCGAGGTTTTACTGTGTGTATAAATATATTTTTTATTGTAAAACAACAAGGTTGAATGTTTACTACCCTTGAAATCAAATCAAATCAATCACTCGATTAATTGGCAAAATGTTGCCTTGCAAACATTACAGTTTTTCTTCAAAACAAAACTAATATGCATATTTTACCCTGTGACAACTTTATTTGTTTGGCTTTGTTGCTGGGTGGTGGAGGGTTAAAGATAAAGATTGCCATCATACCTACATGACGATCTTACCCAGGGGTGAGCAACCCGGAGCCCCATGCGGCTCTTTAAGGCTGCTTCGTGACGCTATTTATGAATTAGAAGAAAAAAAAATCTCTTTTCGTTACTTCGATTTGTCGACCCCTTGGATCTTACCCAAACGAAACTATTAGCAAGTTTTTAAAAGTGTCGCCGCTTACTTTTGTGTGCTCGCGTCATCTTGTCGGCCTTGAGTGCACTCTCCTTCACGCGCATGTGATACTCCAGCAGGAAAATCTTCTCGTGCTCAAAGAACTCATCCGAGTCCTGCACAAACCCAGAAACATTTCACGTCATTCCAGTGCAGCACGGGGCGTTTTAAAGCTTGTCAGAATTTCACAGCAGTGCTCATAACCAGACTTAAGAGAGCACTAGATAGGACACGTTTTCATACAAAGACTTCGTAAAACAACCCTTTCCTTCATGCCTCGCAGACATAAGACTATAAAAGGCATGTTGGGCAGGCACAAAGAAGTGTCCGAGCATATCTGCTTGTTGAAGAAAAAAAAGCACACAACGGCTTACACCTACATGATCAGCCACAGATGCTTGAAATGTTGTTTTACAAAATAATTAAGGGTATATACATTCACCAAGATGCAATGATATAGTTACTGATGTTTTTTTTTAAACATTGGTTTAACATTTGCGCTACAACATAAAACATAAAATGATCTATTATTGTGAGTTTTTGTGTGAACGGAAGAAAAGGTGGCACTAGCGGTTTTTCACACTGTACTATGAACCCAACGACCTGAATTTCATTCCCGACCATGGCAAACATCAGCGGGGAGTGACACAAACGTTTCTTGAACCCCTCTTCAGGAATCCACATTGACCAGCATGGGGAAATATGTTTAAATCCTCATGACCGATAGACAGTCTGTGGGAAGATTTTCATCTAGCTATGTTTTGAAACAGGGGATTTAAAATATAATATTACGTCCGTGTCTCAAAAAACGTAGTTTGGATCGATTTAACATCAGTATGCTTTGGTAAAAATGTCTCGTAGAAATTAACAGACAGCTCCAATAACAACATTGAAAACTAAGCACAGAGGTAAAATTGGCTACCAGGCCACCCATGTGTAACGAGAGGGCTTAAAATACTCTACCTTTGCTCCGGAAACCAGGACTTCATCAGCTGACTTCATCATGCTCTTCAGGAACCCTCCCAAGATCTCTTTGGTGTTCTTGCCACGCACACTGAGCTGTGAAAACAGTCAAACATCTCAACGTGATCAGACCAATTCACCACTTAACAATTTCCCGTTCTGAGACATCTGCAAGTTGCACGCAAGCGGCTCAGAGTTAATTTTATTTAGAGAGGCATAGCGCTATTGTTTTTAAAAACATTATACTCACCGCACATAACTGTAGCAACATGACCACACTCTATGATAGCTCACGCCAAACTGTGCCACAAGCCGCCCGCCGCATGGCCTTGTGGGAGCCTCGGTACCGATAAAGTTATTTTATCTTCTGGTTTCGTTTTGATGACGTACACGTACGTCATCGGAACGGAATCGGAAGACAAACTGATGACGTACACGGACCTCACTGGAACGGGAGAGGGTTAATAAGACACCCAAACTGTTATACTTGCAAAGAGCTTAAATGTGACTACCTCTTGGTCATACTCCAGGAAAATGTGGAAGTTGCGGTCTTGGCTCAGGATGGGGTGCGCAGCAAGACGGCAGAGGAACACCTCGTGCATGGCCACCGTCTTCTTGAAGATTGCCAAGTATTCTCTGCAGTGGGATGGTCGCATCGCACACAAGAACATAACAGAGCTGTGTTTCCGATGTTCGTACCTTGGTGGGAGGGTTAGCCATTCCGTTGAGTAACTCCCAAATTTTGAGAGGAGAAAACAACGAAACACGAGAGTGCCCGAGTAAACGTGACCCGACCCGTGTTGACTGACCCTGTTGGATTTACACAAGAGCCGTTACGTGTACAATCTTGCAAGTTACCGCGATAATGCATTCAACTCAGTCACAAAACTGGGTTGGGAGGGTGGGGAGGGGTTGGGTGGGGAGGGGCTGGGTGGGGAGGGTGGGGGCATGGGAGCGGTGGGGCTGGGTGGGGAGGGACTGGTCACACCGTGGTGCCCTTATAAAACTCAACGTTTAACCTACTCACGCCGGCTTGTGCCCGCCCTCACAGTCGGCCATATTTGCTGAATACACCACGCCGCCGTTGACCCTGGCCATTGACCGAGCAACCCAACGTTCCTACCAGCTCCCTCGTATTGTTTGTTGTTGTAACATTTTGACCTCCGATCTGCACGGTTGACTACGTACGGTGCAAAATAAGTACAACACACGTACTGGACATCTGTAAAAAAATAACTTTATAGCTCATCGGATTCCTCCAGTATAAACATTCGGATTCTGATTAAGCTTGAGGGGCTTAACCGCTAGTATAACGGAGAGAGCGCGGACGCGAGAATGAGGATCGCTCGCTCGCTCATTTTCAACTCACGCCTCCAGCTCCTGCTTCATCTTGGAGAACTCTTCCTTGGTCATGGTGGCCTCGCCCTCGCCCAGACGCTGCAGCTTCTCGCGGGACGAGTCGAAGTCGGGCCGCGGAGGCGCCGGTGGGATCTGGTGGCACGGAAACAGCACACGCGTACACAACACAAAGATCCCTCCCACTCCCATACAGCTTTAACAGACTGTTGGGGCAATGGCTGTGTGCCTATGTTTGTTCTCTCTCTATGTATCTCTGTGAGATCTGTCTGCTTATATGTCTGTCTATATGTCTCTGGTTCTGTGTTTCATCTCTCTCTCAAATTTAGCATTCTCAGGAAGAACGTAATCAACCAGATAGGGTGTAGACTGTTATGTTATCCGACTCTCTGTTGTATTACATTACATTTATAAGTATACTAGATTTGTGTTTCTATTTCATTTATACCTGATGACGATTGCTTGTGTTGCAATCGAAACGTCGTATGCTAGTATTTAATTTATTATTTTATCTTTATACGTGACTTTAACGAAAGAACCAAAGAGTAGCACCTATGAAGGCCTGCACGGCACACGAGGGGGTGGGTGGCCAGCACCATGCCTGGCCGCCTTTGTCTCCCCAGTGGCGATGTTTACACGCCGCACCAGGTACTCATTTGAGGCTGAGTCGATCGAGGTGAGGCCCAGGACCGGTACAGATAATCGTCACTGGTGTTGGCCGTGATGGGAGCATAGCGTGCCAACACCGCTACACTACCGTACTCCCCTAACCCACGTATATACATACACACAGACACAAACACGTACAAAGCAACTACATGTACATGTAGTTATAAACAGTTAGCACACTCGCCATTTTCCCAAGATGGTAACACACACTTTGTTCCTCATGTATTTCGAAGTAAAAACTGGGAGCACGTATTAAATAAGGACAGTTCCGACTGATAATTGTCATTCTCAAAGCTTGAATTTATCCCAATTAAATATAGAACATTTTTTTACGTGAAGGATTGTTGTAGTCATTGGTGCAAGGGCTACACCTGAGAACTTGTTTTAATTAAAGGCGACTGTCTCCAATTGAACCAAGGATGTCAACGGTCTCAGCTCAGTACTGACCTCAGCCACCAGACCGTCAACTCGAAATAAAGTCCAAGACATGTGAGAAACACCTCGATATATGGTCGACCAAACCAACCTACAAGATACTGAACTGTTGAGCTACCTGGCCACCTCAAAAAATTATGCATAAATTAGTTAAAATTGCACATGTCGATCTGATCACGCAGCACGACACGCTGACTTATAATTGACAATCCCACGTGTGCAGTGTGGCACAGACGCGTCCGTGTGCTGTATGTATGCTGAACTTCTTTCGCACCATATGTAGCCAACCGCTCTAATTGGAGGTGCGGAGGAAGGACAACTAAACCAGGGGACGGCAACCAAAATAACAAGATTTTTTTTTTCTAGATTTCAAGAGCCGCAATGCATGCGAATTACGTCCCGAAGCACTCCTTTAAGGAGCCGCATGTGGCTCTGGAGCAGCAGAGAGCCGCCCTCCCCTTGAACTAAACACAAAAAGCACCGCGCGTGTCGCTCCCAGGTGCTCGTTCGGAAGGCACTCACGACGATGCCTCCATAGTCCTCGTTCTCCACGTACGAGTCGTGCAGCCAGATGAACTCCTCGTGCTGCCGCGACACCGACAGCTTCCCCTTCTTGAACGTCGGCAGAGACGTCTGTGTGGGCGGACGGGGGGAGGGTGGGGGGGGGGTGTGTGACGACACACGACCGTTACTGCGCACCAGAGGTCGCAACCGGGTACCCGATACCCGTACCCTACCCGATACCCGGCTGCCCGTACCCGGCTGGGTACGGGTATCCGTTTGCGACCCTGGTGCGGCCGGGTACGGGTAGGCCGTAAGTCACTGTTGAGTCACCGTTTGTCACTCATTTCCCAACGTCTTGTCACTTCTCACAATTCAAGTTCCTAGAATCAACCCACCCGCGCCTGCAACATGGCTTAATCCCAGAGGTCGCAATCAGGTACCCGATACCCGTACCCGGCCGGGTATGGGTAGGGTACGGCCGGGTACGGGTACCCATTTGTGACCCTGGTGCGGCCGGGTACGGGTAAGGAATCAAAACCCGTTTGCGACCTCTGCTGCTCACTGCTTATACCCATTTAGCCTCCTCTGTGGCCATCTACTTGGGAACCAGACCTAGACATTGACTTATGAGTTGCAATACGTCGCTACACAAAGGCATATGCAATAATAACTGTGCACCGCCGGAGGTGATAAGGAACTGAAGCTTAAACAGTTATTGGTGGGCGGCAGAGGGAAATGTTGCAAAATCACTTGTACTTTACTTCTGGGATTCCATATCTTTGTACTCCACCTTCAACCAACACTCGCCAGCATGGTGAAGTAGTGAGATACATTTATCCAGTGGTAGTGCAGCATGAAACGCAGCCTTAAATTAGTCGAAGCATCGCACAACCGTGTGAAATGGCGACAAGGGGAGTCATTCATTTCGCAGTGGACTAACCACGATTGATGACACCTTAGCACCTATGTGCACACACGTGTACGCGCTTGTGCGCGTAGAGTATTTGTGAGGAACGGCAGTGTAGCGGTTAGCGCACTGCGCTACGAACCCGGCGACCCGAGTTCGATTTCCGCTCACGACCAACACCAGTGACGAAGTATCTGAATCAGTCCTGGGCCTCCCCTAGGTCGACTCGGCCTCAAATGAGTACCTGGTGCAATGTGTAAACATCACCGCTATGGAGACAAAAGCAGCCAGGCATGGTGCTGGCCACCCAACCCCTCCTGTGCCGTGCTGGCCTTCATAGATGCTGCTCGCTAACAGCACTTGCACCAAAAGTATTTTAAGAATATACGGGGGGTCTTTGTCTTTGGCACTTGTGTATGTGCACTGGCCAGCGTGGCCGAGCAGCAGCCGCCCTCACCGTGGTCTGCACCGTGAACTTCACTTTATCTTTTTCGCTCAGCGCATCGGAGATCTCCACCTGCAGCGGGGAATCTGAGGAGTCCTCATCTTCTGCCTAGAGCCAACCGTGCGTCGGAAATAAAGAAGTTATATTCAACAAAACTTTTTTTTAAACACGCTTTAATGAAATGTACCGTACGAGTAATGGCAGAACTCCACGACTCCAGGAAGTGGCCCCGAGGCTTGGCATAACGTATGGGACTGTGGTAATTTACAGCCAACGTTAGTTGAGCGTGGACACATTGGGAAGTGGGTTAAAATTGAGTTACAAGATTTGAGGATACGACAACAACAACAGACAGAGTGAGTTCATAGAAAGCGTGTAAAAAGATAGTTAAACAATTTTTTGTTTATTTTTTATGATAGAATATGGTATTGTCATCAGTATGACATCAGTATACCAAGTTTGTAGTCGATACCACATTGGCAAGTGGGTTAAAATTGAGTTACAAGATTTGAGGATACGACAGTGACGACAACAACAGAATGAGTTAAATAAAAGCGTGTAAAATAATAACAAAAAAGCCACCGATCAGAGACACGGATAATCAAGACTCACGTGTACACCCGGCAGTGTACATGTGTACGTACACCAGTCAAGCCGATCAGCAGTTTGCGTGTTGGTGGGGTAAAGTGAGGCTAACTCCCACCAACTCTTCCAAGATGTCTGTCCAGCATGGAAGAGTAGGCCAATGTACTCACCAGACGGGCCCTCTACAACTCCCTCGGAATGAAGGCTCTTTCACCAACAGTGGCATGAACATGCAGCTATTCATGGTTCATAATAAAGGCTCAGTCAGTCCTTTGTTATGTAGTCTAGCCGTAGTCTCAAGCCGCACCTTACCATAATAATAAAACATTAACCCATAAAAACAAAGTTTTTCACTATAAACCCTTTATATGCGTGGCGGCTAGAGTCCTCTCGTCCTCTGGCTTGAGATGGCTGCCACCTATGGGTCAGATGAAAGCCTGCCACCATTAAGCAATTGGTAATTACATATAATTTTTTTTCCCTAAAAAGTGTAAAATTTTGGAAAACATTTTTCACGAAAATTAATTGTCATGCACAACGAGTCTGTGTGGAAAATGTCAGCTCGATTGGATCACGGGAAGTGTGTTAAAAAACGACCAAAAAATTTGCACGGTCGTAAGCAAGCAAGCACGCAAGCAAGCAAGCGAACTTAATATAAAGGATTTAAAAAGTGGGCCGTTCCTGCCCCCCCCCCCTCAACCAGTATATATACGAAGTAGTATCTCTTGTAATCTCTCATTTACTTGATACAGCTGTCGTGCTGTGACGGTTCCACCTGAAGATGGAAGCTTGTGTTGCCTCCGAAACGTCGTGATTTTTAATTTTATTTTTATTAATTTTAATTTTTTTTTACCTATGTGACTTTCCTGAAAAAACCTAAGAATATGAATCCTTGCAGTCACGAAAGCTTCAAATCTAGAATTCATGGTTGTTTAACTTTTATATCTAACTTGCCAAGCCGGTTAATGAATAATGTATAAATATGAAAGCCCTGGTGTAGAATACACCGCAATGTGTAACGTGACCTATCTGCATTCTCTTTCCGATGTATGCATACCATTGTACCGTATATTTGTCATATTACAACCACAAAATATAAGTGTTAGGATTTAGTATTAGGTTTCATTATTTGTCTTTCCTGTTAATGACTCACTGCCGTCTTCTGCAAAATAATCGTGACCAATGCCCATGGCTTCTTGAGTTGCGGTCGCCCTGATATGCTATAAAAAAAAACTCGCTGTATACAGTACTCGTTACGTGTATACTGAACTGACAGATGTCAGTCACACAGAAGCAGACACTGAGATCCAGACTCGCAGATACCTAACTTCACATAGAGCCACACTCACACAAGAGTGCCGTGTTTTCAGAGACCCATACTGACAAAGAACCACAGAATTGCAGAGACCCAGAGGCTCAAATAGAGATCCATAGACTCACATAGAACCACGGAATTGCAGAGACCCACAGACTCAAATAGAGATCCATAGACTCACATAGAACCACGGAATTGCAGAGACCCACAGACTCAAATAGAGATCCATAGACTCACATAGAACCACAGAACTGCAGAGACCCACAGGCTCAAATAGAGATCTAGACTCACATAGAACCACAGAATTGCAGAGACACAGAGACTCAAATAGAGATCGATACTTAGATAGAACCACAGAATTGCAAAGACCCAAAGACTCAAATAGAGATCCATAGACTCACAAAGAACCACATAATTGCAGACCCACAGACTCAAACAGAGATCTATACTCAGATAGAACCACAGAATTGCAGAGACCCACAGACTCAAATAGAGATCTATAGACTCACATAGAACCACGGAATTGCAGAGACCCAAAGACACAAGTAGATATCTATACTCAGAACCACAAAATTGCAGAGACCCACAGACGCAAATAGAGATCTAGACTCACATAGAACCACAGAATTACAGAGACCCAAGACTCAAATAGAGATCGATACTCAGATAGAACCACAAAATTGCAGAGACCCAAAGACTCAAATAGAGATCTATAGACTCACATAGAACCACATAATTGCAGAGACCCAAAGACTCAAATAGAGACCCACAGACTCACATAGAACCACAGAATTGCAGAGACCCACAGACTCAAATAGAGATCTAGACTCACATAGAACCACATAACTGCAGAGACCCAAAGACTCAAATAGAGATCCATAGACTCACATAGAACCACAGAATTGCAGAGACCCACAGACTCAAATAGAGATCTAGACTCAAATAGAACCACATAACTGCAGAGACCCAAAGACGCAAATAGAGATCCATAGACTCACATAGAACCACAGAATTGCAGACCCACAGACTCAAATAGAGATCTAGACTCACATAGAACCACATAACTGCAGAGACCCAAAGACGCAAATAGAGATCTAGACTCACATAGAACCACGGAATTGCAGAGAACCACAGACTCAAATAGAGATACATAGACTCACATAGAACCACAGAATTGCAGAGACCCACAGACTCAAATAGAGATCCATAGACTCACATAGAGCCACAGAATTACAGAGACCAAAATTCTCAAATAGAGATCGATACTCGCATAGAGCCACAGAATTGCAGAGACCCACAGACTCAAATAAAGATCTCGACTCAACATAGAATAACATAATTGCAGACCCAAAGACTAAAATAGAGACCCACAGACTCACATAGAACCACAGAATTGCAGAGACCCACAGACTCAAATAGAGACCCACAGACTCACATAGAACCAGAGAAATGCAGAGACCCAGACTCAAATAGAGATCTGTACTCACACAGAACCACAGAATTACAGAGACCCAGAGGCTCACGGTGAGATCTATATACTCACATAGAACCAGACTTGTACAGAGATACAGACTCACAGGTCTGAATGCTCAGTGACCACAACCAACTCACATCAAGACCAAGAGCATAGAACCACAGAATTACAGAGACCCAAGACTCAAATAGAGATCGATACTCAGATAGAACCACAAAATTGCAGAGACCCAAAGACTCAAATAGAGATCTATAGACTCACATAGAACCACATAATTGCAGAGACCCAAAGACTCAAATAGAGACCCACAGACTCACATAGAACCACAGAATTGCAGAGACCCACAGACTCAAATAGAGATCTAGACTCACATAGAACCACATAACTGCAGAGACCCAAAGACGCAAATAGAGATCCATAGACTCACATAGAACCACAGAATTGCAGAGACCCACAGACTCAAATAGAGATCTAGACTCACATAGAACCACATAACTGCAGAGACCCAAAGACTCAAATAGAGATCCATAGACTCACATAGAACCACAGAATTGCAGAGACCCAGAGGCTCACGGTGAGATCTATATACTCACATAGAACCAGACTTGTACAGAGATACAGACTCACAGGTCTGAATGCTCAGTGACCACAACCAACTCACATCAAGACCAAGAGCATAGAATCACAGAATTACAGAGACCAAAGACTCAAATAGAGATCGATACTCAGATAGAACCACAAAATTGCAGAGACCCAAAGACTCAAATAGAGATCTATAGACTCACATAGAACCACATAATTGCAGAGACCCAAAGACTCAAATAGAGACCCACAGACTCACATAGAACCACAGAATTGCAGAGACCCACAGACTCAAATAGAGATCTAGACTCACATAGAACCACATAACTGCAGAGACCCAAAGACGCAAATAGAGATCCATAGACTCACATAGAACCACAGAATTGCAGAGACCCACAGACTCAAATAGAGATCTAGACTCACATAGAACCACATAACTGCAGAATCCCAAAGACTCAAATAGAGATCCATAGACTCACATAGAACCACAGAATTGCAGAGACCCACAGACTCAAATAGAGATCTAGACTCAAATAGAACCACATAACTGCAGAGACCCAAAGACGCAAATAGAGATCCATAGACTCACATAGAACCACAGAATTGCAGAGACCCACAGACTCAAATAGAGATCTAGACTCACATAGAACCACATAACTGCAGAGACCCAAAGACGCAAATAGAGATCTAGACTCACATAGAACCACGGAATTGCAGAGAACCACAGACTCAAATAGAGATCCATAGACTCACATAGAACCACAGAATTGCAGAGACCCACAGACTCAAATAGAGATCCATAGACTCACATAGAGCCACAGAATTAGAGACCAAAATTCTCAAATAGAGATCGATACTCGCATAGAGCCACAGAATTGCAGAGACCCACAGACTCAAATAAAGATCTCGACTCAACATAGAATCACATAATTGCAGACCCAAAGACTCAAATAGAGACCCACAGACTCACATAGAACCACAGAATTGCAGAGACCCACAGACTCAAATAGAGACCCACAGACTCACATAGAACCACGGAATTGCAGAGACCCAAAGACTCAGAGATCTAGACTCACATAGAACCAGAGAAATGCAGAGACCCAGACTCAAATAGAGATCTGTACTCACACAGAACCACATAATTACAGAGACCCAGAGGCTCACGGTGAGATCTATATACTCACATAGAACCAGACTTGTACAGAGATACAGACTCACAGGTCTGAATGCTCAGTGACCACAACCAACTCACATCAAGACCAAGAGCATAGAACCACAGAATTTCAGAATCCGACTCAAGACTTATTCACATTGTGACTCACACAGAACTTCCCTCTGCATGTGACTAAATAACAAAAACATTACCAGTTTATCCACAGCGTCTTGATATGCGATCACATACTGACGCTGTACACAGTATAACTATACAGGTATAATTATAATGGCCATGTTTATTATACACTTTATCTATACTTAAAGGTAGGGTGTAATCGAGTTCTAAATTAGCACACAACCACAGACTTGCTGTAATAGAGTTAAGTTAAATGTCGATTTAAAGATATCGTGACTGCAGGGATTCATCTTCTTGGTTATTTCGGTAAAGTCACGTAGAAGGGAAGTAATAAAATAAAAATAATAAAATAATTTAAAAAAAATTCTCACGACGTTTCGGCCACAACACAAGCAGCCGTCGGGGTTGTTATCTGTACGTGTGTAGTAAATATACAGCTTAGAGAAGATTGTTGCCAATCCGGATTACAACACCCCAGGGCCTGTTAACCCACACAAGAAGCCGCCATTCGCCACGACGCCCCGTCCGTGCCAGGCTAGGTGCACCGTGAAGACAACGGAGGCTTTAACCAAAAAAAATCGATTCACTATAAGCGTGTGCTGGAAGCTCCCGATAGAACACGCACCGACAATCGAAGCTTCGTATATCTCACTGCCATCGCGTTTAATCAGTCACCAGTCGCTACTTTATTAACTTTTATTAAACTTTCGAACGGGCCGCGCCCATTCCACTCACTTGATCTGCCGGAGCTGCCGCCACCAGCTCCGGGTCATCGTCCACTCCGTCCTGAGGACGACAGTAAGTTTACATCAGCGATGTTGTTGTTGTTGTGTGTTTGTTCTTTGTTTGTTGAGGTGGGGGTGGTGGTGAAGCGAGCGAACGAGCTTTGCTTCCTGAGCCGAACGCGCAGAGACCCACCATCATGGTTGCGCCGTGACGTCACCTGTACACACACACGGCGGTGACGTCACCTGTACACACACACGGCGGTGACGTCACCTGTACACACACACACAGCGGTGACGTCACCTGTACACACACACGGCGGTGACGTCACGGCGCGCGGGGGTGTGGGGCGGGGTGAGGGGGTGGGGGTGGTGAGGAGGGGTGGTGGTTGTAGTGAGGGGTGGTGAGGGGTTTGGTGGTTGTGGTGAGGGGTTTGGTGGTGGTGGTGAGGGGTTGGTGGTGGTGTTGAGGGGTGGTGGTGGTGAGGTGTGGTGGTGGTGAGGTGTGGTGGTGAGGGGTGGTGGTGGTGAGGGGTGGTGGTGAGGGGTGAGGGGTGGTGGGGGTTGGTGGTGGTGGTGAGGTGTGGTGGTGAGGGGTGGTGGTGAGGGGTGGTGGTGAGGGGTGGTGGTGAGGGGTGGTGGTGGTGAGGTGTGGTGAGGGATTGGTGGTGGTGGTGAGGGTGGTGGTGGTGGTGAGGGGTGGTGGTGGTGGTGAGTGGGTTGGTGGTTGGTGAGGGGTGGGGAGGGGTGGTGGTGGTGAGGGGTGGTGGTGGTGAGAGGTTGGTGGTGGTGAGGGGTGGTGAGGGGTGGTGGTAGGGTTGGTGGTGGTGAGGGATGGTGGTGGGGAGGGGTTGGTGGTGGTGAGGGGTTGGTGGTGGTGAGGGGTGGGGAGGGATTGGTTTGGTTGGTGAGGTGGTGAGGGGTGGTGGTGGTGAGGGGTGGTGGTGGTGAGGTGTGGTGGTGGTGAGGTGTGGTGGTGGTGAAGGGTGGTGGTGGTGAGGGGTGGTGGTGGTGAGGGGTGGTGGTGGTGAGGGGTGGTGAGGGGTGGTGGTGGTGAGGGGTGGGGGTGGGGAGGGGTGGTGGTGGGGAGGGGTGGTGGTGAGGGGTGGTGGTGGTGGGGAGGGGTGGTGGTGAGGGGTGGTGAAGGGTGGTGGTGGGGAGGGGTGGTGGTGAGGGGTGGTGAAGGGTGGTGAGGTGTGGTGGTGGTGAGGGGTGGTGGTGGTGAGGGGTGGTGGTGGGGAGGGGTGGTGGTGAGGGGTGGGGAGGGGTGGTGGTGGTGAGGGGTGGTGGTGGGGAGGGGTGGTGGTGAGGGGTGGTGAGGGGTGGTGGTGAGGGGTTGGTGGTGGTGGTGAGGGGTGGTGGTGAGGGGTTGGTGGTGAGGGGGTGGTGGTGAGGGGATGGTGGTGGTGAGGGGTTTGTGGTGGTGAGGGGTGGTGGTGAGGGGTGGTGGTGAGGGGGTGGTGGTGAGGGGATGGTGGTGGTGGTGAGGGGTTTGTGGTGGTGAGGGGTTTCAACCCATGGCATCCACCTGGGTCTGTCCCGAGACACTTCACGTGGCCTCAAAAGTGCACCTGGCCTGGCAGTGGCTAACGGCGGCTATTAAGTATTGGGGAGCAGATGGAGGCGCGCGACGTGACGTCATTTAACTATAAAACTATCTATGACGTCAAATTCGTTAAAAGGGGCCGTGTTGTGTGGGGGGGGGAGAAGTGATTAGGCGCGGTGACGTCATTTTAACAATAACTAAATTGATGACGTCATGGCGCGTCATGAAGAGACGGGTGACGTGACGTCATTTAACGGCGGGAAGTTCAAATTCGTAAAACGGGATCGGCGATGTAGGGGGCGGAGTTGCGCGCCTTTCACGTCATTTATTTTAGCGGTGGGAAGTTTAAGTTCGTAATAAGTATAACCCGTAAAAACAAAGTTTTTCACTCTAAATACTTTATATGCGTGGCTGCTAGAGTCCTCTCGTCCTCTGGCTTGAGATGGCTGCCACCTATGGGTCAGACGATTGTCTGCCAGTATTAAGCAATTGGTAATTAAATATTTAATTTGTTTTCCCTAAACAGTGTAACATTTTGGAAAAAAAAATTCTCGAACATTAATTGTCTCGCACAACGAGTCTGTGTGCAAAATGACAGCTCGATTGGATCACAGGAAGTAGGTTAAAAAACGACCGAAAGGTTTGCACGGTCGTAAGCAAGCAAGCAAGTGAACTTAATCTAAAGGATTTAAAAAAAGGACCGGGATCTAAGGGTGCGGGGGGCGATTGAGAAGGAGACGTTTGACGTGACGTCATTTTAACAATAATTAAAACAAAATCGGTGACGTCACGGCGCGCGGGAAATTCAAATTCGTGAAACGGGACCGGAATGTGAGGAGACGACGACGAAGCAACGGGGCTACATGACGTCATTATTATTATTATTGCGGGAAATTCAAATTTCCGAAGTGAAATATTTATTTCTATCACGGCGAGCACGCGGCAATTGAAATCCATAAGTCGACGGGTTCGATTTCACCGGCGCGGCAATAAAAAAAAAAATAGGAACGTTTCCTTCCATCCCTCAGAGTCTGCATTGCAAATTTGCAGATTGACTTTGGGGCCGTCCATAAATGACGTCACGCGATTTTGGACGATTTTTGACCCCCCCACCCCTCGTCACACGGCGTCACAAAAAGTCAGACCCCCCCCCCCCCTCAAATATGACGTCACAAAGCTCTGCCCCCTCCCCCACAAAAAATATAAAACATGCTTCAAATCGCTTTAAACTATTGTCATTGTAGTGCGTATTTAATGTGGCGCTGCACTCTGATGTAGGAGAAAGCGTCTGACAGCGTCTGTCTTTCCGACAGACCTGTTCTTCACCTGAGGACGGCTGCTTGCGTTGTGGCCGAAATGTCGTGAGAATAATTTTATTATGTTTTATTTTTATTATTTTATTACTTCCCTTCTACGTGACTTTACCGAAAGAACCAAGAAGATGAATCCCTGCAGTCACGAAAGCTTTAAATCGAGGTATGACCTTTTATCGTATTTATTTTATATTGGCAGATTCGTGCGTGATCATTCACCAATGACTCTCACTCCACGCTACACCCACCCAGGGTCCGCTTGGTCGAGAACCACTGCTTTAGAGCTCTTCCTAGTGGAGAATCCTTCCACCCAGATGTGGCGTGAGCGAAAATATGCAGGGCTTGCACCCTGTCATCTTCTACGGCAAGGGTGGGGAACATCTTAATCTGCCAATGGCCATTTGGATAATTATAACATCATTCGCGGGCCATACAAAATTATCGACTTAAAAATTAGCCCGTTATATTTGGTCAAACATTTTATTAACTCACCCCTAATGCGATGGCTGGAACTGCTTCTCTTTGGCGAGGCGTGTGATGTTAGCTGGTGTTGATGATGTTGCTGCTACTCGCAACTGCTTTTCCAGGTTTGCTCCGAGATTTATTGATTTCGAGTTCTGCCTGCGGTTGCCTTGGCAGGGCCAGACCCAAATGATTTCGCAGGCCTCATACGGCCCGCGGGCCGGACGTTCCCCACCCCTGTTCGACGGGGATGATACGCTTCTAAGTGAGCGACCTCCAACTGGAGTGAAGATTGTTGACAGGGGCTCTTATTTTTTGAATCCTTTATATTAAGTTCACTTGCGTGCTTGCTTGCTTGCGCGCTTACGCCCTGTGCAAATCTTTCGGTCGTTTTTTAACCCACTTCCCGTGATCCAATCGAGCTGACATTTTGCACACAGACTCGTTGTGCGTGACAATTTATTTTCGTGAAAATTTTTTTTCCAAAATTTTCCACTTTTTAGGAAAAAAAAATATGTCATATTTAATTTAAAATACCAATGTGATAAAAATGAAACTCTTACTCAAGAAAAACAGAAATTAATAATAAAATAAAACCGATGCCACGCATTTAAAGGATTTATAGTGAAAAACTTTGTTTTTACGGGTTAATTTTGTTATAAACTTTTATTTTTCGTTTGTTGGCCTTCCCTCGCAACGATTCGGCTACGCGCTGTGAGAAATAAATGCAACATATGCACAGCAGAGGGCAGTGCAGGAAAGTCTATTGTTGTGCAGTACCTGTGTTGGACAGTACTTGCATGTTCCCTGCCTTCACCAACCCGCACTAACCAGTGTCGTGAACCGGTCAGACAAACACCATGACCAGCTTCTTGGTTCTTTCGGTAAAGTCACGTAGAAGGGAAGTAATAAAATAATAAAAATAAAACATAATAAAACAATTCTCACGACGTTTCGGCCACAACGCAAGCAGCCGTCCTCAGGTGAAAACCAGGTCCGTCGAGGCGACAGAGTCTGAATGAAACAGCACACGAGCTTGGAGCATATATATAAGCTGGGCGCATTGACAAAGGAATTTGCATATCAAAAGGAATTTAACATATTTATGGGAAATGCAGGAATGTGATTAGTACTGCATATGCATGTGCATTATGCAGGATTAACAGCATCAAAGGGAGCTGCAGTTACTGCTGCTGCAGCAGTTGCTGCTGCTGCTGCAGTTTCTGCTGCTGCTGCAGTTGCTGCTGCTGCTGCACTTGCTGCTACCATGACCAGCACCGGGCGTGGGGGAGACCCTCATCCAGCAGTGGATCGATGAAGGACTGCAACGCGTGCAACGTAGACATCGATTCAAGGCTCAAAGTTTGTATCACAATTTTTGTTTATTGTACAAAAAAAACAACAACCGACAGAAATTCCACAACAGACCAACTAAAAAACAAGCAGTGTCATAGTGCACAGTCACACGGAGAATTGAGAACAACGGCGTGTTGTGGTGTACTCATGACGGAGCCACGGGGACGAGGAAAGCACATTCAAATTACTGTAGTCACAAACCGTACCTCTCCATAACAAAGGCTCAGCCTCTTATGCCTCACCTTACCATATTAATAAAAAGTGTGCCGTACTTGGCCCTTCCCCCCTCTCCAACCATTATATAAACGGAGTGGTAGCTCTTGTAATCTCTCATTTACTTGATACAGCTGTCGTGGCTGTGACGGTTCCACCTGAAGACGGAAGCTTGTGTTGCCTCCGAAACGTCGTGATTTTTATTTTATTTTACTTTTATTAATTTGAATGTTTTACCTACGTGACTTTACCGAAAAAACCTAAAAATATGAATCCTTGCAGTCACGAAAGCTTCAAATCTAGAATTACTGTAGTAGCCCCTTGAAGATACAACCAACAGATGAAACATGTTTCGCACAATTGCACTGCACGCAATTACAGTGCAAACCAGGCGCTTAATTTAGATGCCAATTACTAATGTGCTGAATTGCATTTACATTTCAGGACGGTGTTGCAGTAGGACCTGCGGCTGAATAAATCATAATGGTTCATGTCAACTTTATCAGCACTTTAGCGAGGTTCTAAGCACACGATGGTGATACCTTGAGTTAGGCTCTGAAAGTCAAACGAAAACGCCCTCAAGTACAAAGAAGGCAGTTCTACTTTGAAGCTAAATTACAGGAGACCGGGTTTGAGAATTTCGCCACTTTTGCGACGGTAATGTTTACGCACGCACCTCAACTAAAGTGCAGTAGAACTCTCATCCGTGGTGATGCGGCAGGCGAATATCACCGATGCCATTGCTGTACCAGCGACGTCATTGATCAATGACGTTACTCCAATGATTTGCGGTAACAAAATGTGGAATTTGGCGATTTTATCCTTATTCCCACAAAAAAAAAACTTTCAGATGACACGAAGCGTTTCCACAGTAGAATACTGCAGATAATCGAGGAGAAAAAAGGGCTACAGGTTATGGCAATTTTCACGGACCCTACAGCTCCTGCTGATAATAGGAGTCATGGGTAATAGGGCAAACACATGAGGGGATTTCGATTTAAAGCTTTCGTGACTGCAGGGATTCATCTTCTTGGTTCTTTCGGTAAAGTCACGTAGAATGGAAATAATAAAATAATAAAAATAAAACATAATAAAATAATTCTCACGACGTTTCGGACGGCTGCTTGCGTTGTGGCCGAAACGTCGTGAGAATTATTTTATTATGTTTTATTTTTATTATTTTATTATTTCCATTCTACGTGACTTTACTGAAAGAACCAAGAAGACATGAGAGGATGTATGTAGTTTTGTATGATAATGTCTCAACTGATGACGGCAGCTGAAATGTGTAATTGGAATGGCGCCAATCCTGGCAAGAAGTCACACACGAACACAACTTTATCTCATTCAAATCCACAAAAGTTGCAAACAGTTCCAGCCTCCCGATCTCCTGGAGTCTCAAGGTCACCGATCCCGAAAACACTACCTCGTGTTTCATCAATGTAGTGCAGCTCACAATCGATACGCTGATACATTTGCCTTCTGTATCAAGATGGGCGTTCCACTCCTTGGTGACACAAGATGTAAGCTTTTGAAAGGGACATAAAAAATAATGGCTCATTATCCGCAGAAAGGCACTTTTGCCATCTTTGAAATAAAAAAAAAACATATAATTTACATTCATATCCATGTAGTGGCAGACGAGGCACAATACTTAGATAGCAAGTATAAGGGTTTCCACCTCTGAGGTACAAAAAAAAAAACCCAGTACATAACATGGGAAGGTGAATTAGAATATCTCACAATACCATAAAAGAGAACTACAAATAAATGCATTGTTTTGAGCGGTGTATTCTGATAAAAAAAACTGTGACTTTTAATGTCTTGGGAAGACTGACAGATTTACCAAGAAATCTACCTAAAACAATGATCCTGGGAAAACCAGGATAGCTGGCAACTCTACGCAAGTAAGAGAGGGGGGAGTGCCTCTTTAACATGGACCCGAGCTCCAATCCTGTCGCGAATGTTAAAACTAAAAAAAAATATTCAGTGACAGAAATGTTTTGGGCAGGCATAAGTTTGCATAAATTAACTAAAATGTTAGGCGCGGTGACGAACGCCTGTAATCAAGCATCTCTCAGGCGAGGGTTGTGAATCAATACCGCCTCCATCACCACACGAGAAGATGCTGTGATACAAGCGTGACCAGTAGATGGCAGTGCGGTTAATGTTGCTGAACTATCCTCTACAAATTTCCGAGGGATATCCGGTCCCCCTTCGATGCTTGGGGGTTTTGTTTCGGGGTACTCCAATATCCTTAAACGTTATACAATCAAAACGGAATTGGCTAAGTATCCGATTATAAGAACCTTCGAAAACGAGTCTTGAGATTTCATGAGGCTCTCCCGAAAAAAACTGTGGAGTTTTATAAAATGTAATGCAATCAAGCAATATTGTGTGTGTATATATAAACTTAATTGTCACTCTACGCATCCAGAATTTCAGCAGACCATGCAAGACCACCAACGTTACACAATTCCAACCGTCTGATATACTCCGACAAAATACAGGACCTGTGCAAAAGTTGACCTGCCGATGCGACCGAGGCAACTGTTAAGCTCTGACAAAGGGGCCTTAACAAGAAACACATTGTTCTTACGTGCATTTTGGACAGGTCAGTGTACAAGTGGAAGTTTCTAGTACGGCCCAGTGTGCAAACTCTACACATGCCACTGAGAACTCTACAAATACAGAAGCCTCGCTCACTTGCATCCATCACGGAGTGACCAAACACTGACGTTGCTATAGAAAGAGGCTCTGGGCTGTGTTTCCTTTTAAGGCACAAACGTGACTCCCGTTCTGCCTTTGTCTGTCAGTCTTAGCCCCTTTTCGGAGTTTGCTTTTCGTGTCACGGGCCACTAGCCCCTGTGTACTAACGTCTAGACATGTAGTGGAACGCCTGACGTCTGACACTGTTTACACCGGAGCCCAGGTTCCGATGTTGAAGCCTTTTTGTTTATCTCAATTAGGAACACCTGATGCCAAGTAATACAACGCAGAGCACGCAAGCGATGTGTTATGTAGGTATTGGCGGTTGTGCTGTGTAGCTCTCAGACTTTTGTTTTCGGGTTGTACCTCATTGCTGGATACTTGTTTTCAGTCAAAGGACCACCTTCCAGTTTTAAGCGTTATCTATTGTGCATTTTAGTGGCAGTCTAGTGTTCCATTTGAGGTGATACTCGAACAAAAAATATAGACACCTTTACCTGCCTCCCTCTATCGTAATCACAATGACACCTGCCCTCCTTGAACCCAGCCCAATCGTATATAAAATAAAAAAAAATACAAATACACAATTACCCAGTCAACACCAATTAATGGCATAACTGGTAGACAACTAACCTTACAGGCCATTGGCTCTACAATAAAAAACCGATATTCACCGATACCCAGAAATAATCTCAGACACCAATATGGTTTTCATCACAATTCTTACATTCTCCAGGCAAACTCAATTTTTAAAAAAAAACAACAGCATTGCAAGTTTCCCATGAACAAAAACAATAGGAACGAATTCAACAATTCACTGTAACTCCATTCCATGCTGAATCAATACAGTCATCGTTTTCCAGAATTCGGGTAGAATTGTGAATGGCTGCTGTTACAGGTAGCCATTGATCACTGCTGGCTCGTACGGCTGGGCCCAATGAAGGTTTTCTGGAAAACCCAAACTGAATTCATTCATGGGTGGGAACAGAGCTACCGATTTATATACAACATATACAGCACTTGCCAAATACCATTAACAAATATTCCATTGACCCCGCAATGATTATCCGAGTGAGAAATTAAGGGGGTTTGAATGTCACCCTGTAAAAAAATTGAAACATTCTAGACTAAAATATATATATACACACAAAGACCGTGTACCGCAATTTTTTCATATTAGGTGACATGCACATTAAAACTCACAATAGCCTTTAATGGGCCTGCCCATACAACACAATCATGCGCAGGGCTTCGTTCCTCACCCGGCACACCACAACCAGCATACCTCTCGCTTTGGGCTGTGCCACCTACTACACCAGTCTGCCAGCGACCCAGAAAATGTTCGGTAATAAAAAAGTTAAAGCCTGATCCGTTGCCGTCTGTTCACAGCAACAGACCGCTACTCTGCATCCAGATCTTCGAAGCGCATATACACACACACACAGTTCCGGTGTATTGTTTTCAAATTTCCCCTCATATTTCCGAAAGAATTACGTTGAAAGGAAGACGACGAGAGTGCATCCGTTTTCAACGTGCACATTTTCTTTGGATGATCTGGAGCAAAAACATCTGTCGTGGATCAGATTCTGGGTTTGAATCCAACGAAGTCCTCAGTGCTGAAGTATTCATTCGTGTGAAGACTCACAGCTTCGCTCGCGATTTTATAAAAATGTAAAAAAAGAAATACAACAACAAAAAACCCTGACAGGTTTCCCCCCCCCAAATATAAATGGCTATGCTTGTCCTTATTTTCATGCACGAAAAAAACAACTCAATTCAATAACAGTCTACATTCGATTGAAAGAAATTAAGCCGCTTGAAAATGGAGAAACCTTTTGAAAAGTTGACCCAATCAGTAACCGTTCCATTCAACTATCGTACTCCTGGTTTTGCATAGAATTGAAAAAGTATATATATACACACACACACACTCATAAACATTAATGTAAGGCCTACATTGTATAGACATTCAAATTATTCAAGAAAATAAGCGACTGCAATGACAGTGGTATACGTGCACATATTTCGTTATAAGAAAAAAATCATCAATGGGGTGAGTTTTTAAAATGGGTTCGTTGCATGTACAGTAATGAACGAAATGAAATGTAAATGCATGTGCATGTTACGTATATGCCTACGCATATGTTTGACGAATGGTCTAATTTCTCTCGCCACCCAGTAAGGACATACACGAGCCGTGGCCAAAGATAATTGAGAACACTACATACCACACAGCTGTGAATCTCATTTACTTGATACAGCTGTCGTGGCTGTGACGGTACCACCTGAAGACGGAAGCTTGTGTTGCCTCCGAAACGTCGTGATTTTTTATTTTATTTTACTTTTTAATGTTTTTTACCTACGTGACTTTACCGAAAAAACCTAAGAATATCTAACGTTACGGCTAATATTTAAGACGCTCTATTTTAGTGCTCAACTTAGAGCAGAATAAGTGCACTAATCTTACGAGGAACTCACTTGGATGTGATCAACTCTGAGTATGTGTGTGTATATATTTTTATCATGCTTTTACTGTAACACTTTTGACCAATTCTGCAGGCAGCCAAATGGAGAGAACGTGCCCCGCAAGTAGCGACCACCGTGCAGTCGATGGCATCGTGGCATCCCAGTGAGATAAACCGTGCCTGATGATGACTACATAGGCGAAGACGCGCTAAATGCACCGCTGCACGCTTGCCCCGTGCCACTGCATTCCCTGTGACACCGAGGCCGCGGTTATTGTCACGGTGCCATCGACAAGCAACGTGCGCTGATGATAAACCTTTGCGCAGAATCACCCATTACAGTGTTTGTAAAAAAAGAAAACTCATCAGAACGGTTAACAAATACATTGAACGTTACACAACGTGAACCGCAGCTCAAAGTGCCTTTCAACAGTCGCGCACCCGAGCCCCGTTTGACTGGAACCAAAACCAGTTTCTTAATATTTTTTTACCGTTGCCTTTGGAGACCTCGTATATAAAAAAAAAATTAGGAAAAAAAACCTGAGCAACATATTTTTTTATGACTACAGTGGGTGTGGTGTCACCCCCAGAAGGCTGTGGCCTGAAGCTTTGTCAAACTCTTCACTCGGTGCGATTTAATTTTTTAAAAGTCTGCAACTCTGCATTCCTTCAGATGTATTAGCGATGCAGTTGACGCTGTCAGTTTAATAGATTTATGTCCGCAAAGTAACGCGAAGGCATCTAGGCGGTGATGATCAAGCACATTTTTCTTTCCCTTAAAAAAAAGAAGAAGAAAACTTCGGTCTCAAACATTTGTAAAATGTTGGCAATAGCCCGTAAATGTTCTGCAGAGATATCCATCAATCACTCTGGTAGTCCGCTTTAGAAATAAAATTATTTACCGCCCTTCCTTAAATCAAAAGCTGGACGATTGCCTTGCCTCCTGTCCTGGTTGTAATAAGGATAATCCCTATTTTCGTAGTAGCTCCTGTCTGGGAAATCTATAAGTCTTCCGGTGACATTAAAAGTCCCGGTTTTTGTCAAATGTGTAATAATAACAAGACTCATACACCACTCAATCAAAACTATTCACTTACATCTACTTATCCCCTCTTTCTGTATCGTCAAATAGTCTTCTTGCCACAATGTCCGGTTTTTTGGTACCTCAAAGGTGACAACCCAAGGTTGTTTGACCATATTTCACCACGCTGGTCAGTGCTGGTTGATAAGGCGGGGGGGGGGGGGGATTGCGCCTTGGACCGGTTAAGACACCACTCGCCACTGATTGTTATCTGTTGCGGGGGATCACGCTGGCAGCTGGGTTCATATCTCTGTGCGCTAACCGCTGCGCGTGCCGATACGCTTCTGTAAGAATGGAAAAAAAAGAGTCGTGAAGTATTTTGTTTGGTCAAAAGTGTGTGGCTGCACCCACTGGCGAGAGACAAGAGGTCAAATCGCACGCGTCCGCCTGTTGCTGTTCTTGGCCGAATGAGTTTTAAGCCGCGCGTGTGCGCGTGTGCATTTTTTGTTACCACTATTATCAGTAGCATAATGCCCGAAATACTGGGTATCAATGCAGGCTAATGTGGATGTAAAGATTCCCCACCCACGTGAAGGATTTGTTTAAATATGAGTTTCTGGAATGGTCGGGTTTTTTTGTTTTACAAGGAAGTTTGCCTGGTGTGTTTTTAAAAGGAGAATCACTTTTTGCGGATTTATCTTCACACAACATAATATCAAACCTGTTATGTTCAAACATACCTTTGAATTAAATGCATTAAATATATTGCTCAGTTTTTTTTCCTCCAGTAGATGTTAAATTGTTTGAATTCACGTTATTGTATTCACCCAAGTATTGGAGTGTGAAACACGCTGCTTGGAAATATAATTTTTGTTTGATTATTATGTATATGGGTTTTTATCGCTTCAATTCTTCATGCAAAATATTCCTCTGCCCTGGCACGAGAACATCATTACTGTACTGGGAGTTTTGAGTGCAGAGCTTTCCAAAGCATTCAGAGGAATCCAAGTTTCTCAATTGTATCAAAATCAGCAGGCACGGTACCGCCACCTAAGATAAGTGCTTTGTGTTTTTCATAAGATATATTTTTAAAGATAATAAAAAACATTATGGATAAGCACGCTTATTACAATTTCCTTATTTATGGAAGCCACATTCTGAGAAAGACAGGGCGCTGGCTTCTTTATAAAAATATCCTTGCTGCCACAAAATGGCCACCAAACAAAATGGCAACCGCACAAAATGGCCTCCTCCACAAAATAAAAATCAGATTTCCTTTCTTGTCGTTTTTTTGCACCATTTGCAAAATAGTTTTTTGTTGTTGTCGTCGTTGGTTTTGTGTATATTAATAAGTATGTATACATTTTAATTTAGCGGTTGCTGGGCTGCAGCGCCGTCTGGATGCAAGCAGGGCGACGCGTCACTTTGCGCAGCTGTGCGCTGTCGGGGTGGCTTTCGCGGAGGTGCACGACGAAGACCTCCTGGCTGGACGCCGTGAAGCCACACTCCTCGCACACGTACAGCTTGGTGCGCCGCTCCTTGTAGGCGTAGCGCTGCGACACGCCGTGGATCTTCTTGAGGTGCGACTCGAGCGAGCAGCGCTGGGTGAACGCCTTGCTGCATGCCTCGCACTTGTACGGACGCACCCCTGGCACGTGCGTACGCGAGAGATAGAGGAAGCGAAAGCAGTAAACGATTTTGTCATCGATAAGTTTGGCATTCAGACATTGTACGATTCTAAAACTATCATTTTATTCTATTGCGACAAACGGTGAAACGTGGAGATATCCGTCGTTAGAAATGATCTGGGAAACATGGCGGATTGTGTGTACTGATGGTGCCTAGTGAAGGCAGACTTGAATACAAATGATGGAATAAAAATATGATCCAGAACAGGTTGGAGTGCGTTTGGATAGCCAAACTTGAAAAGGAAGGGGAATGTATGAATTTGGCAAGAGAAAAAGAGGAACACGTGGATCAGAAAGCACACATGGGTTAATTTTGACTGTGTAGCATTAGATACGTGTGTATGCGTTTATCTTATTGAATTCTCGGTCGGCGTTTTCACTAATACACGCATCTGTATATTAGACGATGCGCATTTTTCAGGACCAGTTCAAGTTTTTCAGCACCAGTTCAGATATCACTTGCTACCAAAGTCAGCCATGGCCGGGAATCAAACTCCAAATGCCAGGTTCACAGTGTGGCGGTGTGTGCTCTGAACTGTGCCACCACTCCCTGCTCATCTGATATATCCAGTTTTAATTCAATAACAAACCTAACTATATATAAAACAATCCCCCCCACCCCAATCTCTGTCTCTTCCTATCGCCCACTCCACCCACACATCAAGAAGCGAAGCATGCAGAGAGAAAAGGTAAACAAAAAAGTCAGTTTTAAAGGGACCCTCACTTGATCGTATCTCCCAATCATAAACCACCATCATCATCAGCCATGATTTACCCACTGCTTGCTGAAAGTCTCCCCAAGCTGTAGGCATCTGTCGTGGTCTTGCAATGCGACACACCATCTAGTTGCTGCACACGAGCTTATTTAATCGCTCCGTCTCTACGGTAAAGCCACCTCTGCATAATTCCTCTCCCTTCCAACGACGTGTGTGCCCAAGCCCACTTAGCTTCTACTTTTACAAATGTACGTCTCTAGTATACGTACGATCTCTCTGCTCTCAGTGTAACTTTAAGCACGCAACGTCTCCACGCTTCTTTGTTCGAATCACCTTGTCGGTGTCCACTTTTGTGAACCATAAATCATGGCGGGTAAAACACTGCCTTCTTGGGCATATTGGTATTCAATTTTTCACAATTTAGTTCGGTTTTCATCGCGTGGGTTTGTGGTGGTGAGATGTTATCACCCTCACCAGGTATACAGGAGGTTGTGGGTTCGATCCCGACCCTGACGCCTGCATATTTGGAGTTTCCATGTGTCTCTCCCCGTGGTCACGTGTTATTTATCTCTGGGCCCTCCGGTTTTCCCCTCCATATTTAGAATCAACATTCACAAGTCAACTGCCACTTGAACATTGAGCTATCATTTTCGATAGCCAGGTCGCTTCGGAAAAAAAGAGCTATATGGCTCAGTAGGTCGTATTTGATTTCGATTTAAAGCTTTCGTGACTGCAGGGATTCATCTTCTTGGTTCTTTCGGTAAAGTCACGTAGAAGGTAAATAATAAAATGATAAAAATAAAACATAATAAAATACAATTCTCACGACGTTTCGGCCACAACGCAAGCAGCCGTCCTCAGGTGAAGAACAGGTCTGTCGGAAAGACAATGCAAGCAGCCTCAGGTGAAGAACAGGTCTGTCGGAAAGACAGACGCTGTCTTTCCGACAGCCCTGTTCTTCACCTGAGGACGGCTGCTTGCGTTGTGGCCGAAACGTCGTGACAATTGTATTTTATCATGTTTTATTTTTATCATTTTATTATTTCCCTTCTACGTGACTTTACCGAAAGAACCAAGAAGAGGTCTTATTTGGTTGAAAAAAGATTGGTAGGTGTTGGTGGCTCGTGGAGGAGTGAGCATTGCCAAAAAAATTAACCCGTAAAAGCAAAGTTTTTCACTATAAATCCTTTATATGCGTGGCGGCTAGAGTCCTCTCGTCCTCTGGCTTGAGATGGGTGCCACCCATGGGTCAGATGATTGCCTGCCACCATTAAGCAATTGGTAATTAAATATAAAAAAAAATTCCTAAAAAGTGTACAATTTTGGAAATTTTTTTCATGAAAAGAAATTGTCACGCACAACGAGTCTGTGTGCAAAATGTCAGCTCGATTGGTTCACGGGAAGTGGGTTAAAAAACGACCAAAAGATTTGCACGGTCGTAAGCGCGCAAGCAAGCACCTCCGCCGCCCTCACCTGTGTGCGTGCGCACGTGGCGCTTCAGGTCGAAGGTGTCGTTGAAGCCCTTGCCGCAGAAGTTGCACACATGCTTCTTGATGTCGCTGTGGCACTTCATGTGGCGGTTGAGCATGCGCACCAGGTGGAACGCCTTGCCGCACAGGTGGCACGACAGGTGGCCCATGCCGCCGTCCTCCATCTAACGGGGTGGAAATCCGCGCGTGGCAAACCGGGGGGGGGGGGGGGGTAAGAGTCAGGAGGGAACGTGAGGTTACAAGCATTGCCGTGTCATCTTCTTGGTTCTTTCGCTAAAGTCACGTAGAATAATATTTTATTATATTATGTTTTATTTTTATTATTTTATTACTTCCCTTCTACGTGACTTTACCGAAAGAACCGAGAAGATGAATCCCTGCAGTCACAAAAGCTTTAAATCGAAATTTTACATTGCCGTGTCGTCCGTTGCGGAAAAATATTGCCGCGATTGTCGCCGCTCGTCTTTAAAAGATACAATAAATTGTATTTTCATTCCTGAATAAAACAAAAATTGACAGTAGCTATTCACCATTAAATCAGTGCATTGCGGACTCGTTGACATAATGGGGGGTTATATGACGTGATAATTTTCAGTGAATTTAATTACGTAATTGAATGTGCCTTGTAAGTGTTGTAGATTGTAGTTATTATAAATATTCACGGCAGCCTGAATTAGAGTGAACTGCAGCTGTATAACCTTTGAGTAACCTGAATAAGTACAAAAGTTACAGCAAAGTACACAAGTAAAACAATAAACATGCTGAACAACAAAGTTAAGGGAAACTGGCATTGCGATAATCGTCGTGTTGTGATTTATTTTTATTTTTTTTATGTCACAAGGTAAGGCTGATTAAATTATTTCGTTATTTTTCAGAAGCAACCTGGCCATAGCTCAACGAAGTGGCTTATCGCGTGGAAATTTATAGCAGCCAAATGCTCTCAATGCACGTTTCTAAATGTTCTGGGAAAAACCGGAGGACCCGGAGAAAAAAACACGTGACCTCGGCGAGAACATGCAAACTCCAAATACACAGTAAGCGTCAGGGTCGGGATCGAACCGAAGACCTCCTGTATACCAGGCGAGGTATGTAACATCTAATCGCTAATGTGGAAACCCCGTCAGAAAGAAGACGTGTGGGCCATGGGTTAGGGATTTGTGTTAGTTTTAACACAGATGTGATATGAAGGGCCATTTCCAATATATATTTTTTTCCTTTCAAGGCCGCAGCGTTATTGACGAATGTGTCGAGGCTTCTTGTTCGCTTCTTAACTGTGCTTGTGCACCACGGCCAACGCAGCAGCAGCAGCATCAGCAGCAACGTCATTTGTGTGAAGTTTTAATCTCTCATCGAGCTACGCGCGACTCTTTTTGCTCATATTGCCCCAAGGAGGAATTTGACTTTCAAATCAATTCCCTTTATGTAGACAAATCAAAATCAGAATATTTATTTATACTGGAGGAATCCGACGAGCTGTAAATGATTGCACATTGAGATTACAGCACATTCTGTCGTCTTTACGTAAGATAATAGAGTTATTCAAAACAACTTATCCAACATCCCTTTCTTGATAAACCCACTGCTGGATGGAGGCCTTCCAATGTCGCCTGAATCGTGGACGGTTGCTTGACCGTCCACCCCGGCAATGGGAGTTCAAGTCCCGGCCAAGGCTAAAATCAGACGCTTGTGTGATATCCAAACCGCATTGACCAGCGTGGTGAAGTATGGTCAAACAATCCCCGTAGTTTTGTGGTCGGGCCACCCAGCAGGAGGATTTACGAACAGCTGTCCAGATTATTATAATTTGAGCATGCCAATTTATGAATAGCACTTCGTTTTTATAGCACTGTCTGTATAATAAAAACCTGTTTGCGTGTGCAAAATTTATGGATGTTTAAAAAATGTTGACTTTCTGGTTTTGACTTCGCTCTGATTATACAGTCGAACTGTAAGAAACAGTTTCTCTTATACACGAGAATGCATTTTTGAAAGTATTGAAAAACGAGTTTTAAATAGTGGAAAGCAGAAAGTGCGTAATGAGCAGAAATAATTACAAAGTAAAATCTGTTAAATAACAATAATAAGTGTACGTTGGGATTTCACAGAAACAGAATTTAAACAGACTTTAAAAGCCGTGCGAATCTAAAATGTGGAGAAAAAAATAAATGTATGTAGCGTAGAACATGAAACATACATTTAAATAAAAATACTACACGAAAAGAGGAACATGTTTAGAGGTGAAGAAAATATATTTTTTTAGACATATATAAAAATGTTTAAAAAACTTATATATATATATAAATAAACAAATAACATTGCGGGTTTCCGTGTTCCATTCCTGCGCGTGTTTGCTCAAGGTCATGACGCAGCAACTGTCAAATCAGAGGCTTTACCCTTCAGATCCTCGAACAGCCGAGAATGCTATTTCACATTAACAACCAAAATATAATAAAAAAAAACAACTAAACTCATTCGTCAACAATAATTACTGCGGCCCTAAAAACGACAGAAGAAGATAAATAGGCGACGTTTCGGTCAATGACCATTGTCTTGTGAATGGCCACTGCCCCGAAACGTCGCCTATTATATAATTTATACGATGTGTTGTGTTGTTAATTGTACCTGTGCACCACTGTCAATGGAGCATCACCAAATGAAAGGTTTTAGGAATATATGTGAAGTTGCATGAAGGCACTATTGGTGTGTACCCTTCTTATAATTACCCCGGTAACGTTGCACCAACGCTGGCCAAATGTTTCCAACCACATGCCAACATTGGTCGAACGTTGGTCTAACGTTAGTCTAACGGTCCCAATCACTTGTCAACGTTGGATTAACGTTGTTTCAACGGTTCCAACCACCTTCTTGGTTCTTTCGGTAAAGTCACGTAGAATGGAAATAATAAAATAATAAAAATAAAACACAAATAATAATATTTTATTGTGTTTTATTTTTATTATTTTATTATTTCCATTCTACGTGACTTTACCGAAAAAACCAAGAAGATGAATCCCTGCAGTCACGAAAGCTTTAAATCGAAATTTCAACCACGTTTCAACGTCGGGCCAACGTTGGTCAAACGGTTACTTCACATATTTACAGGGGAGAGAGCATCGCTGGCCTAAGACCCAGCAGCAATACACGCCAACGTTGAACCTAACGTTCTCAACACTTCCTGGGTTAAATCACCACCTCCATCACCAACCGCCACCGCAGCTCCGCTTAGCACGGTTGGCGACGTACGGTGCGAATGAAGTCCAACATACATTTGTTTTGTTTACAATTGCACACACAAAGACAAAGTTCCCCCGTATTGCCTGAACAGACTGTTGGGGCAAGCGCTGTTTGCAAGCCACTTTACACGAGGTGGCCAGCACCACGCCCAACCGCCTTTGTCTTCCCAGTGACTATGATTTTACAGCACCGCACCAGGGTACTTATTTGAGTCCAAGTCGACCTAGGGGAGGCCCATGCCCGGTTCAGACAAATCGTCACCATGCGTCGGCCGTGAACGAGAATCGAACTCAAACCCGCCGGGTTCGTCGCACAGCGCGCTAACCGCAGCGCCACCGCTCCCACGCGCGCTGGTTACTCGCACCGCACCTTGGTGATGTCGCTCATCGGTGACGCAGCGCCACCGCTGCCTCCGCAGCTGCTGCTGCTGCCGCTGCAGACGTCCACGCTGCCGCAGCCGCCGCCGCCGCTGCCGCTGTTGCTGCTGTAGTGCATCGGCAGCGCCGTCTCGGCCGTCTGCGAGCCCACGGGCCTCTCCACGGGCGGTGCCTCGTGCTCGCCAGCGTGCGACGGAGACCCACCGATCGGAGTGCCCCACGCCAGGGGCGTCGGCACGCTCGTCACCATCGCCTCTGCCGGGGAAGGAAAGGTCCTAGTTAGTGAGTGCGTTGAGCGTGTTGAACTTCGAGGTTGAGCTCACAAGAACGGGCGGAGCGCCGTGTGGATAAAGCGCAGTAAATTTCGATCTAAAGCTTTCGTGACTGCAGGGATTCATCTTCTTGGTTCTTTCGGTAAAGTCACGTAGAAGGGAAATAATACAATTATAAAAATAAAACATATTTTATTATGTTTTATTTTTAATAAAATAATAAAAATAAAACACATTTTATTATGTTTTATATTTATTATTGTATTACTTCTCTTCTACGTGACTACCGAAAGAACCAATAAAATGAAAGCGCAGTAAGTTGGCACAGGTGGTGCATCAGCCAGTCATCTCGGTCATCTCGGTTGGTCTACCCGTGGCACCTGCTGGGTCTGCCCCGTGAGCTCCTGCCAGCGGGCGTTCGAACACTACACGTGGCCTCAAGGTGCACATGGCCTGGCACAAACGTCGTGGTGACGTCACCGCCTGAATATTAATTTATGCTGGAGGAATCCGATGAGCTATGAAGATTTTTTTTGTGTCCAGTCGGGGCAGTTCAGAACGTCGCAACAACGAACAATTCAAACAACACGACAGGACTGCAAAGTATAGGAAAGGTACAAAAAAAATCACACACAAAAAATTAGACGTTGTAAACGTTTTATCTTAAGAGGTAAATCCCACTAAATTTCCACGCAACACGCTTGGGATTCTCGCAACTATTTTCCTCCGTTGGGGACAACCGTGTGGACTGTCCCCGTTCTTCGGATTAACACCAAACACAATTGTGTAACTGCATGTACAACTGAACGGATTCGAAATGTCGGCACGGACCGAATGTTTGTCGTCGTGGGATTTTTGGGGAATGATCCTGGAAGATATGAGGCCACGACTCGTATACTCTTTGGTTCTTTCGGTAAAGTCACGTAGGTGAAAATAAAAAGAAAAAAAAATATTTTTTAAAAATATATTTTTTTAAGTTATTTCCATTTTTTTTCACCTACGTGACTTTACCGAAAGAACCAAAGAGTATGGATCCTTGCAGTCACGAAAACTTCAAATCTAGAGGCCACGTCCGTGCATCTTGCCGACAAATTGGCCACCAAGTTTGCATCCGGTGACGTCACTTTTGTTGGCAAGAAGAAGCGTTTACAAACGTTGCATCATCTTCGCGACCGGGAAATAATATGTCAAATCCGAAAACAATCCCAAGTTATCTTTAAACATCCGAGAATCCTTGCATCTGCAACTCTACTCCGATGTAGGTGGTGGGCAGCCGATCTAAAAACCCATTCACGGCGTGCTGATTTTAAAAGGTAATCTAACAATACAACTTTTGTTGAAATATTATAACCCCTCTCCAATTTTTGCATGGAAAATCAAAGTCAAAGTGATTTCCCGCTGGGATGAGCATCGAGGCAGTGACCCCCCCCCGACCCAAGTTCAATAACTTCAACGGCACTTCGGGTTTTCCACATCATATCCACGGTATGTGTTAACAACCTCCGGCTGCTCTTCATGACAGCGTTTAGCGGTGTGACACACGGTCCTAGAGGGGGGTTGCGTAAACAACAAAAACACACAGTGCGGGAAGTGATGCTATCTGCGCTCTGTGATGATGTGTTTCTAGTTGAAGATAACCAGCGTTGGAACGTAACTCTTTTAGCGGTAATAAAGTTTAGGGTTTTTTTTTTTACTCTGAGCCAACAGTCGGGGTTTAATTCCTTTTCGGTAGCTGAAGGCGCGGCCCTGCAATTTGCTTTACACGTGACACTGCTGGCGGAATGGCCTTCACTCGAGGGAGTACTCTCTCTCCCTCTGTACCAGCGTGGACGGCACCCTCGTGTTCACCTTCTGAAGTGTTCGCTCGTCACCGTGGCGTGCGCGGTGACCACCACCACAACCACCACCACCACCACCATGTTACTTTTCTTTCGTGTTGTGCGCGGTGCTTTTAGCGCCACAGCGCGTGGATTTGTAGCGTTTATTTTCATTTGTGTTGCTGGTGACTTTGTGTGTTTCATATCGAAATCGCCTCCAGTGCTGTTGTTGCTGGCGGCAATAAAAATTGTTTAAAAGTCAAATTTTCTTCGTGGTATTTGGCCTAATTGTCAACGCTGGCCATTTGCGTCTCCGAAGAGGTGGGACTACTCATAGTTTACCACACCGCACGCTAGCGTGCCAATCGACTGAGCGTGGGTGTTACCAGAGGTGGGACAAAGTCATTGTTATGCAAGTCCAAGTCGAGTCTCAAGTCATCAAATTCATGACTCGAGTCTGACTCGAGTCCAAGTCACATGACTCGAGTCTACACCTCAGAGGTGGGACAAAGTCATTGTTATGCAAGTCCAAGTCGAGTCTCAAGTCATCAAATTCATGACTCGAGTCTGACTCGAGTCCAAGTCACATGACTCGAGTCCACACCTCTGGGTGTTACCCATGCATACTGCTGGGTGAAAACAAATGATATCCTTTGTGGGTCAACAATGTGTTTCAGAAAGAAAAAAAAACACCCATTGTCAATTAAAATGCCGCCTTTCACTGCTGGGGAAAATAATAAGACAGCTCTGAATATAAGCAACGACAAAAACATCCATCAATTTAATTCGTTCAGAAATTGTTCAAATATATCGAGTTGCAAATGTAACTGACAACAATCGTGGAATTTTTTTTATGTACCACGCGCGCACGCACAGAGCCGTCCCAAACCAGTATGAAACTCTATTAAGCCTCTCCCAGAGAGACAGATAATGCCTCAACAGCATTATTCGTGTATATCCTGGGAGTGGAGCGGGCGATGCACCAGATTAAACCGGGCAGGTATGAGGGTACAGATAGGAGAGCGGAGTGAGTGAGTGGGCAGATAAAGAGCGTTGGGTTGCCAACATGAGTGCGAGATACGGGTCCGAACGGCGGATTCGCGCGCGTTATATAAGAAGCGCACATAGGGGGAGTGGGTGGTGGTGGTGGGGGGTGCTTCAACATCACAGCCGTCACACGCGCCGTGTGCGTGTGGGACAAAGGAAAGAGGAGTTTCCTGGAAAGGGCGGGCAGCCCTGGGAGGGAGGGGGGTGGGTTGGGATGTCGCTGACACGGCACGCACGCACGCGCGCGCTCCACCGTGGCGACGGGCGCGCGCACGCGAGCCACGTGCCGTGACACACGCGCGCACACACACACACACAGAGACACGCACACAAAGAACAAAGAACCCCCGTATAGCCTTTAACATACTGTTGGGGCAAGTGCTGTTAGCGAGCACCTATGAAGGCCGGAACGGTACACGAGGGTGTGGGTGGCCAGCACCATGCCCGACTGCCTTTGTCTCCCTATTAGCAATGTTTACACACCGCACCAGGTACTCATTTGAGGCTGGGACCGGTTCAGATAATCGTCACTGGTGTTGGCCGTGAGCGGGAATCGAACTCGTGTCGCCGGGTTCATAGCGCAGCGCGCTAACCGCTGCACTATCGCTCCCCACACACGCACACACACACACAGACACGCACACACACAGAGACACGCACACACAGAAACACGCACACACAGAGACACGCACACCGACGCGCAAAGATCCCCCGGGGGGTGGGCTTTTAAACAGACTGTTGGGGCAAGTGCTGTTTAGCGAAGGCCGGCACGGCACACAAGGGATTTGGTGGGTGGCCAGCACCACGCCCGGCCGCCTTTGTCTTCCCAGTGGCGAAGTTTACACACCGCACCAGGTACTCAATTGAGTCTGAGTCGACCTAGCGGAGGCGCAGGACTCGTTGACCACCAACCCGACCTTCAGCGTGAAGTTCAAAGTTTGTCTAACTCAGCGCAACGTTGTCTTTATTGTTTGGGGTGCGTGGCTGTTTACGTTATCCAGCGCATGCCACACTTACGCATGGCTCCCCTCTCAACCTTTCGCTGCCGTTGCAAACCCGCGTATCGCTCCGCCCGTTAAAGCTGCCGTTGCCGCTGCAGCTGCTACTGATGCTGCTTACTCTTTCTGTAAACGCGTGTGTGTTTGTTGAACTTCTTTCGCACCGTACGTTGCCAACCTTGCTAATAGGAGGTGTGCAATGGCCCGGGTGGCTGGCACTTCGAGCAAGTTGATTTTGTTTTGTTTGACTCAGAAATAAAAAAAATGTTTGAGGTTGATCGCGGAAAACATCTCAAATATTTATTTAGAATAAACAAAAAACGGACACCAAGAACATCCCCTTCCACCCCGCCCCCTCCGCCCCCACACCCCGTCCCCCTTCACCCCGCCCCTCCGCCGCCCCATTCCAAACGCTTTTTGTTTTATTTTCGTTCCCCTTTTCAATCCAAATATGCAAATCGACGGCTGTTCACCTCTGACACACCACATTGGGCCCATCATCGTCTCCCCGCCCACAAGGTCGATTAAGTGAGTACCACTTTAGAACAGCCGTTGTCCTACTATGGACAGACGCAAGCAGCCGTCCTCAGGTGAAGAACAGGTCTGTCAGACTCTGTCTTCTCGACAGACCTGTTCTTCACCTGAGGACGGCTGCTTGCGTTGTGGCCGGAACGTCGTGAGAATTATTTTATTATGTTTTATTTTTATTATTTTATTATTTCCATTCTATGTGACTTTACCGAAAGAACCAAGAAGATGAATCCCTGCAGTCACGAAAGCTTTAAATATAAATATATATGTAACTTTTTTCGCACCGTACGTAGCCCACCGACCTCATCGACGGTGCGGGGGGGGGGGGGTGGAAATGGATGACTGACTAACTCACTAATCGGTCTGAACATAATACAATTAGCTGAAGATGATCGCAATTCGCTTCGTAATCGGCTTCCTTTTCGGTTCGATCGTATCGCTACAAGGTCAAATCACTAACTATGAACCTTCGAAATCTTTCGATTGATTTTGAACACTCCTCCGTCGTTGTTGTTCTTGTTGCAAGCCTTTTGGCGTCATCTGGTCCAACACCATGTGAGACTAGGCTTTAAGGAAAGCTGTCTCGGGTGTGGGCCAATCAACTTCAAGGACAGTGCATACATGACCAGAGTTATGTGTTTTTGTTTGTATTATGTCTGCAGGTATTGTGGTCTATGCAAAATGACTCCTTGTAAAAAAGGTGTCAGTTTTGTTGCCAGATAGAAGGGTAAAGAACCAATTATCAGGATCAAAATGCTCATCTGAGCAGGAGATCACTTTTGCCTATTTTCTCTTTCGCCTATTTTCTCTTTCTCCCTCTCCCGCTTTCGCTGTGTCAACAACCATCGAGGCACGTGTCGTTCCGCACAGCGCGAAGATCGAAGGGAGTGTTCGTTGTGAACGAGGTAGCCGCGGGGGAGCGGTGGTGCAGCGGTTAGCGCGCTGCCATACCAACCCCCCGGCCGCCCCGGGTTCGATTTCATGCTCACGGCCGCCAACACCAGCGACGACGATTACCCGAACCGGTTCTGGGCCTCCCCTAGGTCGACTCAGACTCAAACGAGTACCTGGTGCGGTGCTGTAAAATCATCGTCGCTGGGGAGACAAAGGCGGTCGGGCGTGGTGCTGGCCTTCATAGGTGCTTGCTAACAGCATTTCCCCCAACAGTCTGTTACAGGCTGTACGGGGGATCTTTGTCATTGTGAGTTACCGGTTGGGTGACCTCCCCCCTCCCTCCTCCCCACAGTGTCTGAACTTGACCCGCAGCAGAAACGTTAACCGCACGCGGCTTCAGCGTTGGCTCCACTCCTTAGCCCAATTACCGCACCGAAGCAAAGGGTGCACGTTTCTGAACTTCCACGCCCCACCACAACCACCACCGCAACTAACACCACTCCCTGCCTCTGTCCAACAGTCGTTCAGCAGGTCACGTGTGGTGGGGGTGCAGTGTGGGTAATCTCCTCCACGACGTCCGGCCAGTGTG